AGTTAATAACTTTCAAGCAACACCTTTTAGCGCTCAAGGTTTGTACCGCTTGAGAGCAGATTTGGTACATTTAACCATCGTACCTACCAAGCCGCCCACACCGCGTGGAAACCTCCCTGCATGTTCATCGAAAAACCTCCATCCGAACAGTGTCACTACTGGACTTTCGGGTCGAGCTCCTGAGAAAAATATCAGAAATCTTTTTTCGCAGCTGCGGGTGCGAGAGAAACAGCCGGAGAGGAAGAAAAAGAGGTAGAACTCGCCCACGCCGGGGCGCCATAAAAGTTGAGTTCAAATCTTCCCTCCGCAACCGCCTTTACCATCGCATTACCACCACTGGCATCACTATTGGCGTACTCTCCCTCTTTCTTCCTTTCTCTTTTTCTCTCACCGCTTGCCTACCTGTCTGCCCTGCTCGTTTCTTCTCCTTCTCCTTCTTCTTCTTCTTCTTCTTCTTCTTCTTCTTCATCTTCATCTTCTTCTTCTTCTTCTTCATCTTCTCTCGCTGGTCGCCGTCCACCCGCGATCTTTGCCTTCTCATTCCTCTTCTCCGACTTCTCGTCTCGCCTTCGCTCGAGGGGAGGGAGGCTACGCGGGGTATTCTCCACCCGTCGCGACAAGCCACGTCGACGAGGCCCAAGAATGCAGGGAACACCACGACGTAGAAGACGGTTGGCTGTAGGCCCCACGAAGGGGAAGCCTCTCGAGCGAGCCGGGTCTCCTCGACAGAGAGCGGCTGGGGGCGGGAGACTCTCCGCGGGGCCTCGAGAGCCACTCCGCGACCCGCCGGCAGGGAGGTGAGGCGTACAGGGGCAAAGTAAGGGGAACCAGGGGACTAGAGGACCCGGGGTAGGGGCCGGGAAGTGACCGGATGGCCTTGGTCCCGAGACTCGGTTAGTTACCGCGCGGCTGACTATAACCAGCCGTGCCACAGGGCGGTATCTCCGATTTCGACCGCTTTTTAAGACGACCGAACCGCGCTCGGCATGGAAGAGAGGGGAAGGCGCGACTGTCCGGCGAAAGGAAAGGGATAAGGGGGAAATCTCTAAAGGAGCGACAAGACGCACCGGCGAATACACAAACGCTTACGCGTGCGTTCGCGCGCCTCGTTCGAGAAGATCGAGAATGAAACGCAGCAAAGAGAGAGAGAGAGAGAGAGAGAGAGAGAGAGAGAGAGAGAGGGAGGGAGAGGGAGAGAATGATGGGATTTTGAGAAAATGTTTTGCCTCACCGTGCGATATGCGTGTGTGTGTTTGCCGCATGTGCCGCTGTGCGGCCACGAGGAAAACGCAGTGCGTTTGGCACTAGCGACATAATTAGCAGGACGTACTGCGCAATCCTCCTTTTTCGGGAGGATTTAATTTAAATTCTTTCTCCTCTCTCGCGATTCTCGCCGCATGTCGGGACAGATTTCACGAATGTTTTCGTTAAGGACGTATTACGCATAGGTGGCGACCTGATTGAATTATACGTATATCGTGTGCGTTGTATATCACGCGAATCGACGTTTTTTTTTCACTCGGTGTACTCGCGCAGCTTTCTCGCGACATTCGCAGCGCGCGCGTCCGCAGAAAAAGTGATAAGCTACGCAGGCGACTCGATGAGCGACCGTTTAACAACTCAATCGCAATTAACCAAAAAAGATCGGCATTCTTCTCACGTGCGATATTCCATTATTCGAGCGTCGAATGACGACAACGCGCGGTCGGTCAAAAATCGCGCAGTATTCCACGAACGTCAACCACTGCCGAACAGTGTATGGAAATCGGCGTAGATACGATTATGTAAACTGCGTAGCGCAAACGCTTTTGCACCGGTCGCGCCGACTCGGTAAACACGACACGAGACGAACGAAATAATACGAACGAGTGACATATACGAAACATATACGAAACGCTCTTTCGCACTCCTACATTTTCCCGTCGATCTTCCTTCCGTTTCGGACTGTCATTTTGCAGAAAATTGACACCTAGCTCAAAATCGTGCATACACGAAATCGCATTCCATCGCATCACCGTCGGGCATTCCCGTCGAAGGCAGCAATGAATAGCCCGGTTATTTATCCACCATCGCTCGTTATTGCTCAACAGGGGCAACTTATGAGAACGCAAGAAGATATATCTACGGCGTCCACGAAGTGTACTGGGTGTCTCACAAGTTGCAAGCTGAGTCGGGAAACGCGACAATATCTTGTTGCATCGAGACGCCGAGATCGAAGTCTGTTCAGATTTCAGCAAGAACATAATAAATTCTGCTAGTTCTCAGGGTTAGACCCCCGAACTTAGAAGTCGATCGAGTCAGTTTGTACGGTTTCTAACATGACCTGTATATTAAACGAGCCTCGATTAATTATCCATCAAGCTGATAATTACCACGGTGAATTTGCGAAAGTCCTATTCGCGGCGTTTCGCCAGGAAGAAGAAAGAAGATCAGCGGACGACCAGCGATCATTCATTTAAGCTCGTTATGTACTCTGTCGATGACGCTGAGACGCCAGTAGGACATCGCGCGAGTCATGAAGAATCTTACGTGGCAAGTGATTTCTGTCAATTTGTATACACCAATAGAGTGCAAGAAACATTTTCGTGCGACCAATTCACGTATCCATGTGTATGTCAGGCTGATTAGTTAATATTAATTAAATTACATTACGTTTTTCTGCTACTTGCGCACGTCTGGAGGACGCAGATAACCCGGGAGGTGTTTTCAACGAAGTGGCGCATTAAGAGCACTTCGCTGAGTATTTCACGATGCTTCGCTGCGTCGACTTTTTTTCGCGTATTCGCAGTCAACAAACAACTATAGCTAAGACTCCATGTATGCGGTGAGCTTCGGCAAACGCATGCGGAAAGCGACTCCATATACGCGATACAGGTTAATCAATGGCTATTCTATTCGTTAAGTTTTGGAACGCAGCCCCGTAGTATGCATCACTATTATACTCCATACTTGATGAATTTTCATTATAAATTTTTATATTATAGATTTGGCAGTGAATATTGGAAAAGTAGTAAAGTTATTTTAATTAGAATTCATTGTCATTCAAATTATAACCCGCGTACAATCAATGACATGGCGGTCGTGTAGCACCCGTCGACGTAGAAATATATGGACACGGAGCGTTCTACAAGGGGTAGGTGATAATAGCGGTAAGGGGAATACTACACTGGGAATACTCACCGAGTGAGTAAATTGTTTAACTGTTGGATTATTATTATGCCCACCATGAGACTGTACACTACTGAAAATTAATTTTGTACATTGTACAAATATATTTTAACAAATCGTTATCAACGCAAAGAAACTTATACATATATACTTTGGATATTTATTAAAAATCTCAGAAAACCTGTTTTAATTTTAAAGAACAGAGTATCGTTTTTTTCTACGAGATTTTCTACGGTATGAGATTTTTCTACGAGAGATAATGATTTAATGTATTATGTGCATTTTTCTAGCTTATTATTAATAACGCAATAATTATCAGTATTTATCGGTTTCTTGAAACTATGTTGCTTTTGATTGTTTGAGTTAAAAATGTCAAATAGGTCATTAAAAATAGACGTAAACATAATTGTCGCAGAATAATCCTGAAATTGAGGTAACATAAGCGTATTTTTACACAATTCTAAAGCATTTGCGACAGAAGTACTTAATAACTGCGTTACTAACTTTATTTTTTTTCTTATAATATTCTAAATGCTTACTTCGGAGTTTATTGCTTAAATGTAATCCCCCATTTTCTTGTAATTTATGTAATTCCTCGAAATACTTCCATTTTTTTGACATATTTTGTTGCCATCACCATCTATAAGTTATTTGGTGTGACCTAAAGAATTTCTAACAAGCCATTTCTTATCAAATGGCTGGGATCCAAAAATGTATGAAAGTTGGTATTATTTGCCGGATATTTAAACCAACTCTGCAAATTATTCGAATCATTGTTAAAATTGCAGCCAAGACTTTGAAGCATACTTAGGTTAGAAGACAAATCATCATAAGTAAGGGACACGATTAACGAAAATGCCAGTTTCTTGAAGTGCAATTAAATGTTCAGTCAAGCTATGTTTTTGTTCTATACTTATTCTGTTTATCAAATAAAAAGCAATAGGCAATTTCCAACCTTGATTGATACATACAACACAAAAAACCAATGCTTTTCTTGCAATTGCACTCGTATCACACTCAATTTTATGACATAATCTACATAGCCTACTTATCTTATCATTACTATATTACTTGTCTTATCATTACTATAATCTAAATGTTGTCGTATCGCCATTTTGTCAAACATCAAGGCACCAATTAATCTATACGACACTGCATGTAATTTTATAGCTTGTAAAGCTTCAACATTTATGCCAGGCTCTCTACTAAATGAACGATACCAGTTGGAAATGGTTTTAGCACAGTATACACAGTATACACAGTAACGACATCCAAATTTCGCGTCTCCAAAAATAAACTGCACACGCGTAGCCGTGTCACCTAACCAATAGCGTTAAGTCAAGACTCCATGTATGTGGTGAGCTGTGGCAAATGCTGCGATGACCAATCACAGGAGACAGGCGCAGGTCCGGTTGCGGCAAGCTTCGGCATGCCGCATCACACGTTGAGATCAAAATATTTTAATTTTTCCGCATAATTATGCCGCATATCATACGTGCGTCGGATGATTTTCGGGACATGAAAACCAGTGAATGTTTATAATCTGACTTTGTGGATTATGTCGTTATGTCGTATGAAACTAGCTATCAAACATGGATTTTATAAATAATGAAAATTCATCAAGTATGGAGTATAATAGTGATGCATACTACGGGGCTGCGTTTCTAAACTCAACAAATATAATAGCCATTGATTAACCTGTGCCGCGCATATGGAGTCGCTTTCCGCATGCGTTTACCGGAGCTCACCGCATACGTGTCTTAGCTTTATGGATTTCCGACGCATTCGTTCGCGATGCGTTAAGATTTAGGTGTTACTGTCATACTTAGCTATTCTCTTCCGCCTCAGGGAACCTCCAAGCGTAACCTCCGCCGCCAGCTCCGCTCACTATCGACGTGTAAACTGGATATGTCGAAAAAGCCGCTGTCGAAGAAACGGCCAAGAATCTTCATTGAGCTCGAGCAGAAGCTAGCGAATAGTCACTAATTACATCGCACGAAGCGCAAACTGAAAATTAAACAGAAGGAATGTAATTTACGAAACTAGTTACGTCTTAAATGCCACTCGTCCCGCTTGCCAGACTAATTGTTTCCAAAACAGACACGGTTATATTAAATGCAACTGTATATTTGTTTAAAAAGATCTATCGTACATGCAGTTCATATCCGTATGTGAAAAGTTGCCATGAAATCAGAGGCCCTAGTAACGACGTGTTCGAATTCCAAATAAGACAGAGCCCCGTCGCCATCGATATCGCTCTCCTCCAAAACTTTTCGACACACGGTAGCCACTTCTTCGACGTTTAGCCCACCTCGAGTCAGCTGCCGACAGGTGCGTTCCAAGTCCCCCAAACCCAGCACCCCGTCTTCATCGAAATCTGTTCATGGAAAACTACTAGTTGATTGATGAAGGGTGAAGTATGAACAAGAATAATGATTAGCGTAACATTCTCGAAGCACGATACGTTCCATTAAATAAATTGCACTACGAGTGTTTCACACCTTTGTATCGCGTGTAACGAATTTTTGCTTGAATCGTAATTTTTAAGAGAGAGAGAGAGAGAGAGAGAGAGAGAGAGAGAGAGAGAGAAGATACTCGGAATTTCTTTTTAATTTGATTTGAGCAACTTTTCCCTTCTGGTTGTGTAGATTTCAACGATCGTAAGAAAGTAGTTTCGCGCATATGGTCTTTCATTGTTGTCTTCTTAAAAATGAAATTAATACCGAGTCTGCTTTCGTGATGAACGTTAAACGGTTACCACTAAACGCATATCTGCGTACCTTTGTTTCACGATCATATTTGCGATTATATTCAGGAGCAAAGCTCCTCTGTGAAATACTTAAGTCGGAAACAATAAATAGCATCATGGAAACGCGCAATTTATAGCGAGAGAGGAACATCAAACGGAGATATAATTACGACGCTGCACGTCGACAAAATCGATCGGCTGTTTCGTGCAAATATTCTCGCGGATGTCATGTCTGCCGTGTGTACTTCTCATCCCACGGACAACTATACATGTACAGCGAGGTCAACTTTCAGACTCTCTCACGGTTCGTTCGTTTGTCTGTTCGCTCGTCCGTCGGTTCGCCTGCCCGTTCATCCGTTCATCTGGTTAACTTTGTAGTCTGTACCGTAAATTTTGAAAGCGTAAAAAACTTTCAGATCTCTTGGTGCCTGCTCGGAGAACACGGACATCATTTCGAGAAATTCCTCGAAGCAGATCCCATTGCAACTGGATGTCGAATGTCCTGAATCCTGACGTCGCGTGAAAACTTCCGAGATACGTTCCCTAAACGGATTCTCCTAGGGAGAAGAGACAAACGAATAAAAAACGATAGACCAAAAAGAACGCTGGAAGAACACTATAGAGAGAAAAATAGAACAGAAATAGAATTGAGTAGAACAGATCTCGCGTGACCATAAGATTTTGATCCTCGCAAACTGAAAAAAGTGAAAACTAAAAAAAAATTGCGATGAACATGCATAGCATGTTGCTATATGGGAGTCATCGACAATATACACGGGTGACGCGCGTATGTATTTTCTAATATGTTCGAAATTTATCGAATATAATTAAAGTAAACCTTCAGTTCAGGAATACGAGCCAAATGCGAGAGGGGTAAACGGAGCGATGCCGCTTCTTGAGGCGTCATAGTACGTGGTATCATTCCAGGATCTCCTATCTCCCGAAATCTCTTAAATATTCTGGAAATAAACGAGAGAAGTCTCGGCGAGTCAGAGAAAATTAACAAAATTGACAAAACGATAATGCAAACGCGAAGGTATTACCTCAGAATTTCCTTGCGTGTGAAAAATGTGCAATCCTGATAATCTTCGAGTTGTTCCTCGGTGAAGGTTGCCACTTTATTTCCCATCGCACTTTTATTAAATTATCTTTTTTTATATTTTAATACATATGTAATAGTGTTATCTCTCACTAACGAATGGTTTCTCGTGACGCTTATTACTTCAAAGTGATAGAAAAAAGTGTAGAATACTAAATACTAGAATATTTATAGAATTATACAATATACTGAGTGTTAGAATATTAAAAAAAAAAATACTTCAGTTCGAATCGTACGAAAGGATACATTACATTGACGGAGGAACAGTGAGAACTGAGTTTCGCATCCCCGATGTTCGATACGAAATCGTGCAATCTAATAACCAGGGTGTGTCTCGCCACTCCCATCTTCAGGGACGTTTCGATGTTGGATTTACGACGAATTACAATCCACTTTTGTGTATCCTCTTGGCGCACAATAAACGTTACTTCTTAACATTAACACGCGAATTTTTTTTTTATTAATAATCATCAAATTATAGCGTATTAATTACATAAAATAAATACGTAATGGTTTCATTGTAAAAAAGATAAGAATTGCAAATGCAATCGCAAGTTGCCACATTAGTCTCTCAAATATAATGATTCTCGTACGTTTCTTTGCAATCTTGCAAATTATGAATACACTCTGCGAATTCGTCTTCGTCCAACCCGGAATCCGTAAATGAATGGAATTTTTTTATACTTCGTATTCTCTTAGTTTGCTTAAGCAATGTCTCGTACATCGCCGCGATGCTGCCATTGCTATGCATTCCAGCCATCACTGCAATTGATTTCACATCTGAAAATAGAAAGATACAGTAGGTAAGTAGGATTAGCGTTTATCCTTTAATCTAATGGTGACATTACTTTCTTTGCCGATGATAAAGAGGACATACCATTGCCTACAGACCAATTGGCGATGCTACCGTCCTCAGTTACATTATTATTGAATATTTTTGGGTATGGATCAACGATTTTGAGTGGTGCTTCGATATCGGAGAAGTAAGTAGCCGATGCGTGACACGTACAGGCTAGATAAAACGTCATCATCTCATGCACACTGGAGCATCGGTATGCTGGTTTGGATATTTGTTTGTTAGCTTGTTGAATCGGTCGTTTCATTCTGTCTTGAGAAATCCCTCGCAATACTATACTCTGCATATTGTCATCCATCGGTATATCACAGCTTGGTGTCAAGCTTGTCCACAATGGACCCTCGACTTCGTCCAGCATATCTATTAAATCCATCTTCATTTTCATAGGAAATGGTAGACTCAAGCTGGTAGCTGCGGCTTTGCGGCCTAATTTGTTCAAGTCAGCACACAAGTCGGATAAGCTGACATTCGGATACTTTTTAGTTCTATACCTCAGGGTTAATGTGTCCAAAGCAGTCGCTAATATTGCGCTACTGTGATATTTCAATTCTGCCTTGTATGTTATGTTGTCGAATTTACGTGGATCAGCTGCAAATGGCCAGCCAACTTGTCCACAAGAGAGTGGACTATAGAGCGACGAGTGTTCTCCAATATTCTGCCAACATAGTGCCGTATTGACAACTTTGATTAAGTCAGATGCACTTGGTTCAGCATTATTGAAGTTTATACATGGAAATGCCAATATACTTTTTCCATACTCATCGTGCAGATGTTGAATACAGGAAGCTCCCAGACCAGCAAAGCCGTCAGTAGAATCCATAAGTACCTATCATGAAATATTAATTATTTCAGATAAATGATGATTTATTTGAGTATAACTTTAAGTATATAATAATGTTCAAAAACATACCTGAAATCCTTGCATTAAATCACATTCTTCTACATAAGATCTTATGTTGTTTGAGAAGTCATCAGAGAATTGTTCTGTAGTCCATAAATTACAACCATATGTAAATATATCAAATGGTCGATTTGTACAATTATGTGAGTACTCTTTAATAACTGTTAATGATCTTGGGTGAAATAAAGGTAGGAGATAATCAACCCATGATTTTGTGTCATTTTCACTAAAAGTTAAAGTTGAATCGTTAGCTTTATCTAGTTTATTTAATGTATGTGTGGATATTTCCAGATTAGGTATTTCAGCACTGATAATGTCCAATTGTTCATCATTCCATAGTTGATTATTTGAGGTAGCTTCTATGCTTGTAGGTTCTGTATCATATAAGATACTATGTTCGTATATAGAGCCTGTTCCTCCTTTTAAATCTGCCATTAATACTCTTGGTGTGAATGTAACTTGTTTCTGTAAAATACAATTGTCAAATTATAATTACTATCTTAATTTTCTATTTTTTGTAGCTAATATATATCATATACTAATAATTAATAACTTTATAATATCCTTACCTGCAGATTTTCACCTTCTCTATATAGTACACCATGATCTATTTCAGCTAAATCTTTTGGATTGTATGTGAAATTAGAAGTCTGCAACAAAGAATCTTAAAGTGCATCATAATTCTTAAAAAAATTACAGAAATATATTGAGATATTTGTAAACAAAATATTGTTGTAAAATTAATACCTGCAGATTCCACCAGTGAGTGCCAATAAAATTGGCATAATGTCCTAATTGAATGGTTAATATCTCTCGTGTCATTATATTCCTTGAATCAGTATCCTGCACTATAGAAATATTTTTTTATTCTATTCTTTTAAATTGACATCTCTTCCGAAATAATAAGGTTGCTCTTTCCAGCTGAACTCTCTGCACTAGTTCAAGAAGTGTACCTATGCCTATGCTCCTCTCTGATATAAATATACACCTACACATAGAAGCACTGTTTCATATTTTTACCGTATGATGTCACTGAAGTCAATTTAGGACTTGCTTTTGATTCTTGTAGACCTTAATTTGTTTTTACAATTAACCGTGGATTAAGACTTGTTGAAAGCCAGTTAACAGAATGATGTCGAGAGCGGAAATGAGCAAGGTAATATAAATCATCATTCTGTAATGCGATTTGCAGAAAAAGTCGAAACTATCTAGTTTAACCTCGAATTGAATAAACATTTGATCTAATGATTCATTTGATGATATCGTTAGTTTGTTATTATGAAAGTTGTTAAAATTGTTCATATTTTGTTACTTTATATAAAACATATGCAAATTAATATATGAAATTTTTATACGTAATGTTTTATTCTTAATCCTTGATACAAAACCTAACCTCGTTATTTATATCTGTTAGTGGAATAAAGAAATATGCGATAAATCAAAGCGGCATAACAAGTATAAGACAAAGCCTAATTGAAATATAATATAGGGAATAAACAATAAAAATAAAGAAAATAGGTTGCAGTAGTCAAGAAATTAGATTAATAAAAAAAAACGTTAGCATTATTATCTTATAACCAACAAATTTGATAACATAATTAGTATATATTATAGCTTGAGTTTTAAATAAAAGATGTCAATTTTTATACTTTATTATCAAATTCTGTCAATGAAGAAAATAAATAAAAACATATCAAAATTATTGTGTAGAAATTATATTATATTAAAAAAAAAACACGGTGGAGTACTGGAATCGGTGCTGCTTTGCCAGAAGCATATAAAAAGTTTTGGAAAGAATGGAAGACACAGCCATCTGCAGTTCACTATATTGAAAATAAAGCCAAATATGTAAGAAATGAGGAAACTGAAGAAGTGTATGTTACAAACAATTTTATTAGTCGATTTTTGTTTGATAATTCTATTGCAATAACTCTATTATATATGTGTTATACATATTATAATATTGTAGGTCCAAAGTACAAAATATACCAATACCTTTAATGTATTCCAAGGAAATGCACAATGGTATATGGGGAGGTGAAGCTATTATAAAAGGTTTCAAAAAGAAGGGAAAATTTAAGAGAAAGGTTGCACACTTTTGGTTGCCTGATTTGCAGAGATCAGTTCTCTATAGCGAAGTTCTTGATTCCTACATGAGAGTTGTGATTACTCCTAGAGTAATCAGATTAATTCATGAACACTATGGATTTGATCATTATTTGCTAAAGGTATAGCGAAACCTTTAATTCAATTGATAAAATAGTGAAATTTTTGTTCAAAAAATATATTTTATGAAATATCTATTCTTAGTTTACAAGTAAACTTTTAATATTTACAGACACCAGCTTGTGACTTACAATCTCTACTTGCATTAAAATTAAAACGCGAGATACTCATAGCATTAGCTGATAAAACTCTCTATCCTGACGATCCCGAGAAACATGAGGAAGTATATGTGAAATACAAGCAATATCTATCAGCTGTAAGAATATTTTTATTTCTTTTTCACTTATGATGTCTTCAGATTGTCTCAAGATTTACAGACTAATTTATTTTTTATACTTTTATACTTTTATAGATTTATATACTAAATATAAAATAAAACAAGGAAAAAAGAACACTATTTTAATATCAAATCATAGATAATACCTTTAATTATATATACACAATACAATACAAATACAAATATATATATATATATATTATATATTTGTATTATATTCTTGTAAGACATGAATTTTGTATATCATTATTATCAGTACCTTATTATATATTTTTAGTACACAAGAGAAGACATTGAATGGTATGGTTTATCATACCAAGAAGCATGTAAAAAATTGAACCAACTTATGAAAACGAGTCCACAACCTCTGAAGATTCAATATAGGTCAGAATTAATTGCCAAACTCAAGGAGAATAAGATAAAAGAAGCTGAAAATGTGGATGTAGTATCACCGGCAGAAACGTATGTAGCTTTACGAATATATTATTTATGTACATTGCACAATATACGATAAGATCATAAGTGAAATTTTCTTTTGCAGAGATGTCTCTTGGCTGTCGAAATTAAATCCTTTCTCCAAAAATTCGAAGCGTGACTAGGTAATTCCGTTTGTTATATAATATGAATCAAGTCAACATTCAAGTTGATAAGTAATGCAAAGCATTATTTAAATTTGTAGTAGCAAATATTTTTCAATTATTTCGTAGATGTATTTAATGAATAAGATGTATATAAGAAAAAGACGATATATTTAAAATCAACTTGGGTTTCGATTTTATTTCATTAAAACGACTACATACATTATATTGATTTTTAATGATATATACTAAAGCTATTCCGATATGTTTTTCACCTGTTTATTTTATGATACTAGAACACTACAAGCGCGCGTTACGCGCGCGCCATTTTAGCTTATTCATATTAAAGTTCAGAATAAATATTATAAATCAAAAATAATCCCTGGAGTATAATATAAGTTCGATAATTTCCGACTCTAACATATGATGTATTAGGCGCATACAATTTGAAATTCCATGACATATATTTTCTGGATAGTAACGCGTAACCGTATAACCAATGAGAATTTCGACGTTCAACATTTCTATTCAAGCCCATCTTAAGCTCTATCTCTTCCCCCTTCACTCTCCCTCTTTCCCTCTCTGTCTTTCTCAGTCTCTCTCTCTTTCTCTCTCTCACTCTCTCTCTCTCTCTCTCTCTCTCTCTCTCTCTCTCTCTCTCTCTCTCTCTCTCTCTCTCTCTCTCTCTCTCTCTCTCTCTCACTCTCTCCCTCTCTCTCTCTCTCTCACACTCTCTCCCTCTCTCTGTCATACTCTCTCTCCCTCTCACACTCTCTCTCCCACACTCTCCTCTCTCGTACACTCACTCGTACGCTCACTCTCACTCTCCCTCGTACTTTCTCTCTCTCCCCCTCCTCCTCTGCATAATAACGCGTAATCGTATAACCATGAAAAATTCGACGTATAACATTCTATTCATGATCATCTTAAGCTCTCTGTCTTCCCCCTCTTTCCCCCCACTCTCTCCAAATACCCCCTCTCATTCCCTTTCAATCTTTGTCTCTCTCTCTCTCCCCCTCTCTCTCTCACTCCCTCTATCACATTCTCTCTCTCTCTCTCTCTCTCACAATCTCTCATAATATCTCTCATATTACCCCCCTCTCTCATTCTCTCCCTCTCTCTCTCTCTCTCTTGCTCTCTCTCACAATCTCTATCTCATACTTTCCCTCCTTCCCCTTCACACACACACACACACACTCAATCTCTCTCACACTCCCACTCTCACTCTCCACTCTCTCGTTCTCACGCCTTCTCCCCCTCTCTCCCTTCCCCCTCTGGATGTTGAAACATTTGTTTTTCCTTTTTCTTTGTATACAATGATTTTGTATTTGTTCAGTTTTGCAATTTCCAAATGTATTTTGGAATGGAGTTACACTTAATTTTTTTTTATAAATTCTACCGGTAGAATTACGTCACGAACTTCTAGAATATTCTGGAATCTTCAAGAACTATGTAGAATCTCCGTCGTTGGCCGATGCTATAACGTCGTTGACCGGCTCGGTCGCCTCGCGCCGGAGTCGCTGCAGCGCGGCCTCATTAGCTTTGCTACCAACCATGGGACCATCATTTTTGTACCATACCATATACCATACATGGTCGATGGGACCATCATTTTTGTACCATACAATATACCATACATGGTCGATGGGACTATCATTTTTGTACCATACCGTATACCATACATGGTCGATGGGACCATCATTTTGTACCATACCACATACCATACATGGTCGATGGGACCATCATTTTGTACCATACCATATACCATACATGCTCGATGGACCATCATTTTTGTACCATACCATATACCATACATGGTCGATGGACCATCATTTTTGTACCATACCATATATTCCACACATGGTCGATGGACCATCATTTTTTGTACCATACCGTATACCATACATGGTCGATGGACCATTCATTTTTGTACCAAACCATATACCATACATGGTCGATGGGTCATCATTTTTGTACCATACCATATATCATACATGGTCGATGGGACCATAATTTTCTTCCATACCATATACCATACACGGTCCATGGGACCATCATCATGGACCAGCCGCGCGACTGGTAGCAAAGCTAATGAGGCCGCGCGGCAGCGGCGCCGGCGCGAGGCGACCGAGCCGAGCGACGGCGACGCTGCTGCGCGGCCTCATGGTAGGATGGTACGTAAATGATGGTGTGTGTGTATGTGTGTGTGTGTGCGTGCGTGCGTGCGTGCGTGCGTGCGTGCGTGCGTGTGTGCGTGCGTGTGTGTGTGTATGTGTGTTATGTAACAGAAACAAGGATCCCACGGTTCGTCACTGCCGTAGTATTTCATGACTCCAAACTGTTTCTGTTGTGTAAAATGACTTTATCTCATCTTTTAAGATGTGCAACATTTTTCAATTAATTAAATGTTCAAATTGTCTTAAGGTCTCAAGGACCGTGGGGTCCTTGTTTCTGTTACATAACACGCAGACGCACACATACACACACACACGCACACACACACATACACACACACGCGCGCGCACACACACATACAAGAGGTGTAAATCCGATCGTGCAACCTCCACGCGGTACACCTTGGGTAATGCTAATGCCGACGGTACTGTAACTTTGAAGCTTCATAACTCGGGATGTACTTAACAAAAAAATACTTTGTTGTAATATTTTGGAAAGCTCTTGAAATACGTTATAAGAATATGCCAAAAAAAGTAGGGCGTTCCATTTGAAAAGTTCAAGGTGACTTTGCCCTGACCTTGTTGACGGTAGCCAAGGTCAAACTGATAAGATCAGTAAATAGATCATTTTAAACCTTACAACTTTTGCCTGAAACATTTTTTCCAAAAACTGATTGTTTTCGAGATATTTTATCGTTCGGAAACTTTTTGAGAACCCTGTATGTGTCAGGTCGAGAACTTTTCAGACTGCCTACGTATATTTCAGTATATATGTATTTTAGTATTTAAGTTCTACATTGTACTTTAGTATATATGTACTTTAGCATTTAGATTTTACATTATACTTTAGTATATATGTCATTAAAAATCAATAATCTTGATTAGATTATAAATGAAGCTAATATTGCTTTTTATGAAACAAGTATATTTGAAAAATATGCATGTAATCATGTACGATTAGCTTTATCATATTATTATTGTCAAAATATCCTCAAAACAGTCCCAGTTAATTAAAGAATAATGGACGGACAATAACTCTAGTATTGTAAAATGGATATAATTCACTCAGAATACAAAGATTGCACATATTCTATGTCTTTCTGAGAAGAAATAAACTTTCTTACTCTAGTATGTCATCCCCTACAAATTAAGCTAAATGAATCTTGTGACATTAAAATAATAAGTAAAGGCCGCTTTTTTTCCGTCGGTTACTGACGCACTTTTGCTGATTCGTTCCTGCAGGATCAAAAATCCATTCGACGACAGTAACCATTTTTGTTGATGGCAAACAAGGTAGCGTAAGATTTTTGTATACCCATCACTGCAACGGCATCAAATTCTTAATACAATTTCGAGTGTTATGGTAGTTCTTAGACTTGATTCACCTGATGTGACTCCGTGTTGGACTCGTCTTCTTCATTTTCTCCGACAACAGCCTGTTTTTTGCTCCTCGGATTTCCACTTTCGTCACATTTGTTCTATTGCATGATATCACATACCTGTGAACTTATGCAATGATATTCATTTTTTTATATGATATACGAATATTCATCTTCATATAAATATGATATATCAGCATCATATTTTCCTTTCGGAAGAATGCAATTCACTTCTTGTTTCATTTCCTTAACGCACAATGAGAAGACATAACTGTTGTGTTATATCGTTTTCTTTCCTTTCTTTGTAACATCTATTTTACGTACCAATATCATTTTTACAGTAATGTCGTGTGCTTTGTTGCTCGTAACATTGTATAATAATAGTAATTATGAATAATAATAATAGTAATAATAATAATAATAATAATAATAATCATCATCATATCCTACAATATCCCACTACCATTGATCTACACTAACGGGTATGCGTGTGTAATTCCGCTCTCTTCGTACTCTCGCTTTTTTTTCCTTTGTGTTTAGCTTTGACCTATAGCGACGTTTTAATTAGAAGAGCACTTTTTCTGAGACGGCATAAGTTTGGTATTGTTAGTTTATTTAAATAGATAAAGAGACTAAGAGTGTGAGAGAGCAAAACCGATTCCATTGTGCACGTCCTACAAATATGTGACGCCATAGATTGTCCGCAAGAGATTAAAAGTAAACAGTTGGCGTATTAAACGACGGATTTACTGTTGGCTCATTATTTGGCTCCCAGCATAGCGCATACCTTGTACGTAACAGCCTACTTAATAACAAGCACACATACTTCCCCGATTGGAACGCGTGGATCGAATTCCATTTATGTAAAATTACACTTCGCTAAAAAAATACGGCTTCGTTGTACAAATATCCTCGGTAAGAAAGCTATAGCAACGTGTTTTTTTATCTTTCGTGCCACAAAGTTGTGGCGAATTTCTTCGAGCACTCGAATCGATCGCAGACCGGCGCACGAAATTCGCACGCAGACCGACACATTCCGTGGCGCAATAGCAATTAGGATTTGTTTGTCACTCACATGTTTGTAATGCCTAGTTATGTAAAGAGAAACAGTATTTACTATATGAATAATAGGTATCTGCCGCTTGGTCGAGTAATTAATCACTGTGATGCAGGAATCCTAGTAAACTAAGAATATTATAATAGATCAACGACTTTGTGTGTATCTCTCGAACGCGTTCTCGCTTGATATCTCTTAAAATATTTAGAAGGTATTACCGGATAATATGATTCCTCTTCAAATATTGTAAAAATGTTTGAAAAATATCGAAGTGACGAAATTATATAAATGTGCGTTGTATAAATTATAAGTTATATAATTATATAATTAATATAATTATAAGTTAATATAATTATTGTTAATATAATTATATAATTAATTATATAATTAATATAGTTATAATTATAAATTATATAAATGTGGTTTTTTGCTCACTGGGACGTTTTCCAAATAATGTGAGATGTCTCCAAATTAAGAAACCTGTGTTCAGGATGAACACGGAAGAATATCTTAGCACGTTCTCGGAACATTTGGGTGCTTTTAGGACATTCTGTACTATCTCGTGTGGCACGATGCGAGTGACTGAAAAATCCTACTTATTGTCGTGCTACTAAATGCTAAGAATCGCTACATCGGTCTGTGCGTGTGCGAATTGTAATTTACGTTTATTAATTTTTTTTTAATTCTCATGTTCGAGTGTCATTTGTTATTCGCGTTACTTAGCCTTAGAATTATGAATCTAAAGTATAAACACGACAAAGGCATATGCCGGTAGTGTGTACGTGCTTACGTGCGTGCGAGCGCGCGTGTGCGTGAGCGAAAACCGCACATACCGAGGTTTGTAAGATTGTTAGCGAACGTCTATTAACAAATTCAACGATACTTCACTCGTTATGACCTTTACGAAGGGTTCCCTTACGAAAGCTGCGCGTGAATGCTTGCGTTCCTGCGCCTGATAATCAATGCATGCACTGTGTATTATTGAACTATCAATTAACGTTAAGTTACTTCGCTTTTATCTTACCGTAATACACGCGCAATTTAGTATCGCTTGGCGAGTAATACTCATACATTTAGTGCACGCCTATGCGTGAAATAACGGTTTCGAAATTAAAGATAAAGAAACATATGAAAACGAAAGGTTCAACGAGAGATCGACAAGAATCGGTTCCGCGAAGTTAAGCTCGCGACTTAGTCTTAGACTAAGTCTTCTCTTAAATTTGGTTCTTGACGAATTGCGGACTGATTGTGTGAATCTTTTCTCTTAGGAAATTCTCTACTCTTTACCATTTCCATATTATTCGCATCTCTTCGGCCTAGAGAACGCATTCTTGTAAATCTCGACGATTATTTCTTCCATTTGCCGCAGACTTTGCGTAGCGACTATGCTTGTATACGACTTATGTATATATATATACATACACACACACACACACATACACATACACATACATATATATGTTTGTATATATATATATATATATATATCTCTCTAGATATATCGTGTAATTTGTAACAATTAGTAACAAGTGAAACGCCCGTTCGATTTCTCGGTTACGTTTAAGATACAAGAGTGGTGACGAAGACCTGAGAGAAAGCCGGTCTGATGCGGATGGTACCGGCAAGGCGACAAATTCTCAGCTCACTTGCACAAATATAAGGCAAATATGAACATGAACGTAGGAACGTAGGGAAGAAAAATTGAAAAACAGCATTTAATCGAATTGGTGCTCGAACGCGTGCGTGTAACGCGCGGCGTAAGGTAATAATTGAGAATTTTAATTTTTTTTTTCAGATATCCACTTCACATCCACGGAGTACTGAAGAAAATTAACAGATTGATCCGATTTGGTCGGTACGCGCGGCATACCGACGAAATATTTGCATTAGACCTAAAATATCGGCGTAGTGTTCGTTAAACCGTTGCGCGACGACAACGCAAAGCTCTCTCAATTTCGACGTCTACGATCATCTATAAGATAACGTTATTCCTTTATTTATTTATCTTTTTTTTTTCTTTGGCCACAACACACGCGGTAGCTTGCGCACGTTAATTGACTCGATGTTTTTGTGTAAGCGTACGCTTATTAAATAGTAAATCTCGCGCGAATAACTTTCGAATTGGCTTGGCTAAATTAGCGAGGCACGTCATTTCGGAAAATAATTAATTGTACTTGGAGCACTCCCCCTCCCGCCCCCGAGACTGCGCGGTCGCTTAGCTTAGCGCGCTCTATTCAGCGATGCGAAGCTTCTACGTTTGTACGCGTTCCCGTTCTGTGCTCGCACGGAACACATTTAGCGCAAAATACGATCGTCCATAATTAACGATCTCGATCGGTGCTTCCGATTTTCGCCGATCGCGTCCTGCTAAACACCGGCTGATCGTAACATCGCATCTTGCCGTTATAATTTTCCGTTGAACGATTGTAATTGTTGCGACAATTACAAGTGCATGTTACTTTGCACTTGCAGTTTTGGGTGGGCAATCCTAACGTATTTATGCAATATTACTCCGTAGACATTAAATAACATTAAATAACATTACATCACCGTTACAATTTTTCACTCGACGACGTAACGGTTGCGTCAATTGTAACATTTATGCAATTATGCCGCAACAAACATTAAGTAACGATACGTCAATGTTGTAATTTCTCACTCGACAATGTAAGTGTGTGTTGTACGTAACAATCGCACTGTTAAATGGAGAACTACAAATTGACGTGACGTCAGCGCTGCTTGATGTTTACTGTTAGTCGGTGTTTGTCAGGATGTACTTTGCCGTTGACTCGAACTCGCCAACCTCGAGCGGACAGATCGCACAATTTCCTTCAAATCCTAGTTGAGCGTCCTATAACAACGCGATTATCGAGAGATAATTTAATCGATAATTTAACAACGGAATATCCTAACTGACCGTATTTGATGCCAAAACGCGTGGCGCGTGAACGCGGACCCGTTTCGCGAGCTTTGCCGATAGCCCGACCGGAAGTTCGAAGCCCGACACTTTGTGGCTCTCTGCCGAGAGAGTGCCGTCTTCAAGCGAAGACGTCACGAGCAATAGCTCGCGATGGAATATCTTTCGAAACCGCATGACCCGTTTGCGTATTCTGGTTACTCGAAAGTAGTAGGACGGATATATTTACAAGTAGCGTGGAACAAAGGAGTAACAACTTTTCTTTTTTAAGGCTGAGCCGACAGCTCGGTCTAGACCGAACTCGGTCAACGGCTCGCTGTACTTAACTAGATATTCTATAGAAGTCCTATCTATATAGTATAATATAGATAGAGGAGGAAAATCTTGCACGACGATGGAGTATTTAAGAGCGAGCTACATCGGTTAATCGATCACTTGCTCAGAAATTCACTGTTCCCTCTTCTTGGCGGGTGATCGCAAGGTGTCTCCAGATCACCAACGAGATGTCTCTCATAGGAAATTAGAGTCCCTCATCGCTACCGCTAAAGATCGCTATCTCTTATATAATCTGACTTTTCCTACCTACATGAATGTCAAACGCGCAATTTCGGTGTCTAATTTCACGAAAAGCAAACTGAAGTTAGTGTACATCAGTCGCGATGTAAAAAGAGTTTGGAAGAACGCGATTCTCTCGTCCAATCAGACATCAGGCTTTCTTCTTTGGTTTATCTCAGACGGGTCTTACATCAACGTGATTTTCAATCTACATGTACTCACTGAGACTTCCGAGAAAATAAACAATTTGTGAAACGAGATTGTCTAGTTAGGACCGATCTTGCTTTTCTCTAGAGAAAATGACTTGACCCGACGACTTAGAGACTTAGAGGCACCTTGCGCAAACGAGTTACCCGCAGTTACTTTGAACCGAGACTTGCACAGTCTACCCTGATAGATTGCTTGATCATGCTTGTTACAATGACGTCTCCATGCTGAAGTTCGTTCGTCTGGTGTTCTCTGACCTGTAATCCTCCACTCTGCCTGTGAAGCTTCTCCGGAAGTTTCTGTCCAGACGAGCGACCTTCGGACGTCGTTCCGTGAGCGACCTGGTCAGACCGGCGCACTGGTGTCTTCTGTTCAGTGAATATAAATCAGTCAGACGACGGTCACCGGTGGACCTATCGTACTGTTCGCTCGAGGTCATCATCATCGACCTCTTGCTCGCATGCTCGGAGAACAGACTGCTATGAGGTGGAAGCGAGACATTGCTGCGATAGGATTGCGATGTCTCGTTGGTCTCGAAGTCGTTCATGCGATCCGCGTGGTCCGCCGATGACAATCTGTACCGGTGTGAACGCTGTTGCTGATGCTGATGCTGGTGCTGGTGTTGATGTTGATGCTGGTGTTGAGCATGCGAATGGACGAACGGATGCATGACAGGGCGCTCTTGCTGGACATTGAAGACACGACGGTGCCTGGTGTAATCGGGAATGCGACGTTTATCTCGATCAGCCGGCGATCGATTGAGACGCGCAAGCATCGGTGTGGGATCTTCTCGGACGTTGCGTTCCATCGAGCTTCTGCCAGGCACGAGATCCTTGCCACCGAATGGGTCGCTGACCGAGATCTTTTGCAGAGGACTGGCGAAGATGAGCGTTCTATAAAGATGACATTGGTCTATCTTAACCCTTCGAGTGCGGAGCAGCGCAGGGAAAAAGCGCTCTGTATGGCTGGAACTCGGCAACATTGCCGAAGGTTCGTCTGTAGCTGGTGATAGCAGGTGCAGCGGAAATAAATTAGTGTTCTGTACTTACAGCGCAGTAAAGATTGCAACTGAAACGTTTCTGTTAACAAGCTGAAAGAGTGAACGTGCAGATAAGAACTCTTAAAAATGCCGATAGTTCGTAGCGAATTTTAAGCATATGTTTGCGCCCACAGCACTCAAAGAGTTAAGCAGGATCGTTTGTTTTTTTGAGACGTGTGTATCGAAGTTAAGGCAACCGATTTAAGTTATTCGATAATTTGAAAAAAAAAAGAACTGCAAATGTATTAGTCGCATATAAATGTTACATGACAATTTCTATCGCGTTTGTAAACAGCGATATGTATATTGCCTTAATTTCGTCACAGAGCGAACAAATGTTAACTATCTTAACAAAAGTAAGCAAGCAGGCATAAAAAATTATATTGCTACAAAATAGCTCATATTTTCTCATATCTCCTTACAATCTTTCATTGTCTTGTACTTCCCATGCTTTTTCATTAGTTCTCATTCACTTTTTTACACTTTCTTTATTAATCTTATTTTTTCTCTTATTTTCTTTTCATTTCTATCATTTCTTTTTAGTTTTTCTCATTTTTTATTCTTGTCTTTTACATTTTCTTATTCCTTTTTAATCATTTTGTCTTATTCTTCGTCGTATTTCTTGCATTCAAGACTGATTTTTCCTTCTTATTGCTTATTTTAATTTATTTTCCTTCTTACTGCTTATTTTAATTCTCATTTATCTTCTCTCACTTTCCTTTATTCTCTAATAACGTATCATTCTCTTTTATTAATTTATTTTTTGCTCTTTATTAAATAGTAAATCTTACGTTTTTTGCTCTTTAATTTTCTCTATTCTTTCCCTATTTTCATATAATTCCTTTTTCTATTACTTTCCAATCATTTTTCAATTTCTCTCATTGTTTTCCATTAATTCACGTTTATTTTTCCTCTCCTTTCATCTCTTATTCCACATACATTCTTTATCTTCCTCACTTTTTTAGTTCTCCGTTTCTCTCTCCCGTCCTCCTTCATCCGGACCAAATAGAAATAAAAAAAAAAAACAGCGATACGCTGATTATTGAGCGATCAACTACTATTAATAATAATAATAGAAATACTAACGAAAATGTATCTTATATTTATAATAAGTACAAATAGCATGGCAATGTACAGACAAGAAACAACAACACAAACGCATTTAGCATCGAGCTTCAAGTTGCTGAATCATTCGAAAGAGAAAATTGTGTGCTATAATGATCTAAAGAATCTAAAGAAGAGCACAGAGGAGATGACTACGAGACTTACCTGGTACCTTCCCTATTTTGATCGCTGGCCGCGTACGATCTGTCTACTACCATAAATTCCTCGAACGACGGCATCCTTCTCCTGGGATTCGCGAAATTCTCCCTCATTCGCGAACGTTCGGCGAATTTATCGGCCCAAATGTCATGATCGCTCTTCTTGCCTCTATCAAACCCGTCGATCGGATAAGCCTCCGTCGTCTCAAGGCCTTCTCCGCTGACGTTCTGTTCCGCTAAGTTCTGGTACTCGTCCGCCGTCACCAAGGTGTACCTTCGCCTGTTCTGCTTGAGGATCGACTTGAGGCAGAAATACGTCTTCGAGTTTGGCAGTTTCCAGCAGGCCTCGTTCGATATTGGGTTGATGGTGATTCTGCTGCGCGGCTCGGTCTTCGGGATGGCGCCTTTACCGCTCGTATACGCTCTTCCGGACACGCTTTCCTCGTCGAGAGACAATGAACGTGAATGGGAAAGCGACGGCGGAACAGAGAGCGGAGCCCACCTGTGGTGTCTAACGAGGTACGGCCTTTCGTTCAGCAAGTTCGTCTCTGTATTGACGCAGCTGGTTTTGCCGCTCTTCATAGACTCCTCCTCGTTCTCCAGGATGTTCCCTAGGCTCTTCACGTTCTCTTTCGCGTATGCGTTCGTCTGTTCCGAACGTAAGCGCAGATTCGGCTCGGAGATGTTGGAACGTATGGCTTCCTTGCCACTCTTAGACGCCACGCCGGAAATGAAGTCCACAGACGAAGTCTGCGAACCTCTGCCGGACGCGATCCTCGTTTGGTCGCGCGGCAGATCATCCGAATTGATCGTCTGTGTGCTAGCGGACATCCGACCGCAGCTGCCACACCTGCTTGGCGACGCTCCGTGCTCCGTGTTGTCCACGGAGCAAGGCGTTCGGTTCCTAATGGGATGCAACCGACCATCGGCCGTCGTTCGTAGCGTCGCCATCCGGCTCTCGAAGGTGTCGTCATCATCCACGTTCGCTGGTGGTGAGCTGACAGGCAGACGCTCGCTGCTTGCTGTGATCTCGATGTAACTGCGCTCGTCCACTCGGACCTCGTAGTTGTTGGTATTACTGTGGCAAGAGCAAGGGCAATGGTATTCGCACGGGGTAGTTAGGATTTGCTCGCTTGGATCGTCCATGTTGCAGGATGTCGTCGCGTCGGTCGAGTTCCCGGCAACGTTCACGACCACGTTCTGTTGATTCGATTGCTCGGCTCGTTCGTAAAGAAGCGCCTCAGAGTAACTCGGCACCATGTCCGTTTCCACGTTCGCTTCATTCTGAACACCTTGCCAGTTTTCTTGGTCACGCTCGTTGCTGGGCGCTGGGTCCATCAGCAACGCCTCGCTGTAACTGGGCGCCAGCATATACGAGCCTGGCTGACTGAGCTGGCTCATGGACGCGTGGATGGGCTCACCGGACGACGGGGTGTCGTAATTCACGCCGAAGAGCTTGGTGATCTGACGAGGGAGAGAGGCAGGGAAACGTTATGTGACTTATTGCAGAAAATGTAATATGATATCGGACAGAGTTCGCGGAGAGACTAGGTGGGTGGATGGCGAAAGGTTGTTTCTATTTACCTGGTAGTCGACATATTGCGTCTTATATTCTATGATCACTCTTAACGGCCAACTGAGCAGCAAGGCACTCAGGCACCAGTAGACATAGCGGTTCGTGAACCAAGGGTTACCGAGAACGGCGACCAGCATCGTGGAATTGACGTTGTTTCCGATATCAAGACCTTCCCTCATCTCTAAGTAGTCGTCCCTGAGTTCCTGAAAGAGTTTTTTCTGTATCTACATGCATACATTTCAATACATGAAACATATATGAAGTTAAAGTTGGAATTTTCGAAATGACTAACCCGACTGAAGAAAATTATATAAAGATATATTTATATACACATGTCTATATCGGAAGAAAGACGCTATTAAAGAAAAGAAGAGATTACTTCCTTCAAGTACACGTCTACATTACGGGCTGCCATAAACATACAGCAGTTACTTTAATCATGTTTGTACAAGAGCATTGTTTTCAATGAGGACATATATAATTTTACACACGATGTTTATATATATGACCACGCGGAGACGAAATTTACATATAATCGTAAAAAATTATTTTTTATCGGAAAGTCGCTGTGCATCCAACGACAATCTTGCAAAGTTGAATTTTCTTCCGCTGGAACGCAAACCAACAACGAAAAACTATATATGCTCGCCTATATATGTTCGTACCTGTTCGGCAAAAAACCTCGATCGGATCTCCTCGAACTCGGTGGCGGAGGTCATGTTTGAAAAGGCGAAGCCCTTGGTGAGCATGATCTTCGTGATCGGTATCTTTGCTCCGAGCACCAGGTCCTTGCTGATATCCTTGACGCCGCAGTAATGGTAGTAATAGGAGGAAGTGGCCACATGTGTGTTCACTCTTTCGTAGTAGACCTACGGAGCGGGAGGGTAAGGCGAAAATACGTACGGCACGTCCTTCACCCTTCCGCTACCTGTGACGTCACTGTAACTGTGTGTCCGCAGCGTACAGAAATGGAATGTCCAATGGCCCCGCGATTCTTATCGAGCTAGGTAACTGACGTCTCTGAACGTCGACAAATTTGACTATGATTCTCGTCCGATATCCGAGAGATATCGTCTTTAAAAATGCTTGACATGCACATTACGCCTGACAAGAATGCAAAACAATAGAGAAGAGATGCAATCGTTCGGACGACGTAAACATACCGAAAATAGCTTCATTCAGACGTTGAAAATCTACTCACGATCGACGGGCTAAATTTTTCCCCGGTTCCAATTCCTCCTTGACTAACATCTTCGGACTTTTCACGGCGCTTCCAAAGCGAAGGAAACTTTGAGCAATGGAGTAAAACTTTCATTTCCAAGTTTTAACTCGCATCCGACATCGAATCCGATTTTCCCGAATATCCTGCCGCTTGTGCGCACAGCTCGACGCGGAGGAAGTGTTTCCTCATGAGATTTTACGCCCGGCAGCGGAAAGATTAGAAGGTGACGAGCGCAACTCCGACATAGGCCGCCGAAGCAGCGAGATGCTTCACCTGCGTGGTAATGTAATTATCCCCGTTCCTATAACGCGTGATTTGTCGTTTCCTGCGCGCGTAGTGGTAGGAAACGGCCCTCCACCATATAGTCGGTCGTGCCATCTTCAGCTGTGCCAGTTTCGACAGCACACTGTCCTGGCTCTCGGCGTGTAATAGATCAATTCTGATGGGCGAGTGGTAGCACTCCACCAGATAAACTAGATATAGCATTCCCATAAATGCCACCTATAGGACAGAGACATGAGAGAGAGAGAGAGAGAGAGAGAGAGAGAGAGGGTGACAGAGAGGAAAAGAGAGCTGGGGGGATGGAGGATAACGATGAGGGTGAGACAAAGCGAGAGAGAAGAACTGAAATTAGTCAGCTATGTGCATCCAAATGTATGCGTGAAAGTGAAGAAAGGAGAGTGCCGGTGTGAAGTGACAGGTGCTTCCCACTTTGTAGCGCAAGTTGCCACGGCAAGTCGGCTTCCAGGTTAGCGGTCAGATCAATCAAGCACAGCTGGTGACATAAATTCCATCTATAGAACGCAGACACGACAAAAGGTGAAAGAAAAGCGAGGCAGAAAGCTGGGGAGAGATAATGATAACGATAAGAAGAGTCAACGGACAATAATCCTTGATATAGATACATACTCCAGTGTGTGAGGACGAAGAAAGGGTGAAATTGACGTGAAGAAATGGATGCCTCCTATTCTCAGCGGCAATTACGACATAGGTCGATACGTGTTGCGAAACAGAAAGCAGCCATTACTTCACATCGCCTCCTTCCCTTCGTTCATTTCCACGCACACTTGAACGCACGTCATTGATTATTGTCCCTTCGCTCCTCCCATCATTATCGTCTTCCTCTCCCTCTTCTTTGTGTATCTCCCTCGCAGATGGTATTTATTTATGAGAAACACTGTGTGCCTGATTGAGACGACGAATAAACTCGAATTTGTGTCAACCTTCGCCGCCAAGTGAAAATATCCAATGACAACGAAGAAGGAGGAAAGGACAACTCTTCGTCATCCGCGTTTTCATCTCTTTTCTTTTCGACGTACGTACCGGAATATATATGTAGCCCTCGTCGCAGGGAGACGTGATATGCTTGGAGCTTCTGATGGGGAACTTGGCGTAGTTGACCATCAGCTAGGGAGTAAAAAATAGGGGTGACAGTTTACTTACGGGATTGCAAGAAGAAGAGAAAATGGGAGGGGAAGAGAGAGCGAGACAGCGCGAGAGAGAGAGAGAGAGAGAGAGAGAGAGAGAGAGAGAGAGAGAGAGAGAGAGAGAGAGAGAGAGAGAGAGAGAGAGAGAGAGAGAGGGAGAGAGAGAGAGAGAGAGAGAGTGAGAGTGAGAGAGAGGAAGAAAGGAGTAAGTAATCCGGCGAGAGCTGATGCGTTTGTGCACACATACCTTGGTGACGTTGGTGCATCTACACCACGTTACCGCGGCGATGCAGATGTAGATCAGCAACGACAGCAGCAGGCATTTGCAATTTGGCTCCCTTTGCAGCGCACCGCACAGCGTCTGGGCAATCGGCCGCTGCTGAGGGTGGTGAAAGATTAATGCCATGAGGTCGCCGGTCGTTTGGGGAGAGCGAGCGAGTGAGAGAAAGAGAAAGACAGAGAGAGAGAGAGAGAGAGAGAGAGAGAGAGAGAGAGAGAGAGAGATCGCTCGCGCTTAGAAAAATTAAATGTCCAACGAGTAATATGCCGTCTCGAATAAATCTCTTTTGAGAGAGATTTTTCCATATTGTGCCGCTCTATGTATTTCAACATAGATTAATTATAAAATAACGGTTCTTTATGTTTCAACCGCGCAACATTTTCCATCTGTTAATGAAAGTTCCACTTCGCAACGAGGTACTCTCGCGACGAGAAATGAAACACGTGTCGCGACACGTGTATGTAACGCACACGACGGAGTGTTGCGTATGTGAAAGATGCTTCGGAACTTTGCAGGCTGTGTGGTAGTCGATAAACTGAATAAGAAATATTTACAAGAGAACCGTCGGCAGGGAAATATCCCTCCACCGATTTCGATGGGCTTCCGATATGTTGCGGGAAGCAGCGGAGAGAATATATAGTCATACTAATCGAACGACAAACACCCAGGCGTATTGTATTTCGTCGGACATATAGGTAGCGTGTGAACTGTCGGTTCACCTTGATAAATAACGTCCATCCTTGAGCCGTTATTCTGAACGCACGTTTGGCGCTGTGAAAACTCCAAGACTGAAACATCGTTTCACCTTGCGGATCTTACAGAGGCATACTCAACGTTTGCATTATGCACTCAGAATAGAAGAGCCCCGGATGGACATGAGATAGGGTAAACGACAAAGAACGCTCTCGCGATGTTTTACCAACGTACTTCTTCGTTTTCCCGGTTCATCATGGTTCTGTCGCCGAGCCGACCTTCGGACTGGATGATTATCTGCCGTCAGGGGAGTGAAACTGCGTTATTCCAGCGTCTTCGGCCCGCCCTGTTTGTTTATTTCCGGCTAAATTGCGAGCCCTCTAAAGCAATCCTGCGATAACAACCACCACATTGACCGTCTCGTCGAAAATGTTTATTTGACATTCGAATGACCTCAATTTCATAACGCTCGCAATGTAAACATGCGATCTCGTGATATTGCGTCACCGTGTCTAATACAGCTCTAATGAGTGAATTCATCGGCGGAATAATGGCTCCGTAGAGGATTTTGCTCTCATCAAAAGCAAAATCGTGTCGTTATTAGAGCGGCTGTTCGTAAGCGTAGCAAAAAAATTTTGTAAATATTTACATACACACAGTTAGTTCTAATTATCTTGATATTGTATCTTGTGAAGGCTATGTCTTTAAGTAAGCTTCAAAGAACTCTGTAGCTGTTGTTCAGTGTTTACAAAAAAGTTATTAACAAATTATGTCGACAATTTAAACGGTTATTCCACTTATAGCTATTAGGGATTTCGTGTAAAAGTATTTTTCACATTACTGCCATATTTTTACACTTACCATTATACTTGTGTTATTGAAATATTATCAGTTGGTCACATGCATACAAGAATAGTAAACGTGCAAGCGGCTGAGAGATTCCCTTTTTTTACCTTTACATCCCCACTCGAAAAAATCTGACTTCAACTAATCTAACTTATCTTATCTCAACCTAGATCACTATTTATAGTCTAGTACTATTTGCAGTATTTGATTTGATACGATGTTGTAGTGAGATATTTATTTAAAACTATCTTTTGAAAAAAAGTCACGAAAAAATAGGAGACCAAACTCTGCGTCAGTAGTAATGAATTTGCTACAATATAGTAACTGCATCGCTAGGAGTAGAATTTATATCTTTTCATGGCAGATTAATATGTTTCGGAAAGCAAAAAATTCACTCTGTTTTATTTTGTTCTGACCGTCCCTATTATTTTACCATCAATAAAAACAGATTTTTGCTATGATATCAAATAAACCGCAAAAGTTAGTTACGCCGATGAAATCTCCTCGCTATCCTCACTGGCACATATTAACAAAAGACTCTTTTGCTGCGACAGCAAAATTCTTTTTTCCCGTGTATATTGACATGCTAATCGGCCGCTCGGAAGCGATTTATATCGGCGTTTTTATGCCTCCCTTTGCATGTCACGACACGGGCTTTTATCGCGAAATTTATCGGCGCTTCTGGTCCGGAATACTTTATCTATATTAGTGGAGAGGTGGCTCCCAAGGTACCTCGTTTTGCGTCGCGAGGAAGGGTTCTGATTTTGTTTTCTTTTTAGAGAAGAACCTCACATGACATAGCATTTTCTACCGAGAGATACGTTTTGTCATTTGTGATGTCTCTCTCATACACACACATTTTTCCAAATACACTGAAGGTCGTAAAGTCGCGATGAAACGGCCGGTAGTTTTAGGCACGTGTACATGTTTCCAGCGATCCATGCGTGAACATGTACGCGACGGTGCGAAATTAATTCAGTGTCATCTAATGCCTGTGCGCTGCTTTCGATTACGCGCGCGGTATTCTATAAAAAGCCTCCTCTATATATGTGCGCAAAGTGCACATTCCAGTGATGGCAACGACGGAGCGGCAACGACGTATACCGTGCGAAACATTCTCGTCATGCAATGACACGTCCGACCGACGTGAAATATATGCGGACGTCGTTGAGAAGCGACCCCCTCGAACGAACCGAATTATCGAGGCGCATAATAACAAATGATCACCTCTCATTACGAATGTTGTACGAATGAAAAAAGACGCGATCTTCGTTTCTCGAGCGAAGAAAGCTCAGCAAATAATTTGGAGACATTTGGTCCTTAGAAGCTCCTTCTCGATTGTCGGACGAAATAAAACCCGAGCGATTTTTAGAACAAAACAAGTGTCAAAAACAAGTGTCTTCGTATTTTGCAACGAAGAAAATAATAATATTAATAACGATCCAAAGGATCAAGGATCCAAACAGACGAAGTCATCATGAGAGATTTGGAGGTGTATAAAGAGATACGGAGAAAAGGAGATAAATAAATAAATACGATAAGTATACCCTGGTTTGTGCTGTAGCGCGTCGGCACACGCGCGGCACGAGATTCTCGTTAGAGACCAACACAACTCGGCGATGACGTGCGATTAGCTGGCGATACCGCGCGAATCTATGACAAGTACACGATGGAAAGCTAATACGCGTATTGTGTAATCGACATGCAAGCTCTCTGGCACACCATCATACGATTATCGCGCTTTACCGTCAGTTGGGGAGGCACCTTCGGCGCACGACGAACACTTTGGCTAGCGGACAGGACAAGATTCTCTTGATTAGACGCGGGTGGACGGATGTAGCCCTGCGGATGAACGGATGAGCGGTTGATTGACCGGGTTGATTGGGGGTGGCAGCTATCGCGCGACAGTGCGCCCTACGCGATCACGTCCCCGTAACACCCCATCATAGCGTGTCGCCACGACACATAACTGCAAATTCATTCTCGGGAAAGGTGTCGCGATCACAACTGCCAGCAGCATTCGACGGTATGGCGGTGCCCCAACTGACGGGGTGGCTGACGCTCGGCGCTGACGCCGGCGTCGGTGTCGGTGGGGGTTCCGCTAGCGTTCCGTGCCGCGCGTCGGCGTCCTGCGCGCTCCTTCGCTCGCTTATATACAACTAACCCCCTCGGCGGCACCGCCCTCGTCCAGCCGTGCTTTTTTCACTCTCGAAAGGAAGAGCGGGACTATCCCGGAAGAAGCGTCGTATAATCATGAAATTTTACGGCCGGGGGGGTGTGTGTCAAGCAGGAGGGCGCGCTGCGGTGAATTGCGGTAGTCGTGAAGCGGGACTTATCCGGCTGGAGGAATGTTCGGCTTTTTAATTACGCGAGAATAACGAATTTTTGCCGATTACGCAAGGGAATTGTGTATTAATAGCTGGCAACAGTTTGGAGTCTCGCGAGGATGGTGCGTTTTTCGAGCGTCTCTGAATTTTGGTACTTGGAGCAACTCCAAGTTAACGCATCAAGTTCTGCTTTGGAGAATCAGTCAGTCCAAGATTTAAGAATGAGCGGATATATTCTTGAAAAATATCAAAGACCGTATATTCACACAATGTACACACATACCATTCCGGAATTCACAAAATATGTATACATATATGTATACATATGTCATTCCTTTTTTCCTGGAGGGAGAATACTTCTTGTGAGTAATGTTCCCGATAGATCAGAGGAACAACGTCAGCGGCTAGGCTCGCTGTGCTAATGTTAGCATATATAACGATCATTTGCAAACACATGGCCGCGATAACATTCGGATATATAATGCGACATTGCATGAGAGCCATGCGATTTAGATGAGATTTAAATATCGGTCATGCTTCTTAATTCAAGAACATGACTTTTTCATATCAAATACTTAAATAACATCCACCTCGACGTTCAGCAACATGTTTTTCGTGTTATTTAATTATTATTCAATTCGAAAAGTAATGTGAAGAGATTTGCGGGGAAGGAAGAAATTAAAATCAATTATTTTTGCTGTTGTATGATATAAATATGATACAATCAAGTGGAATGAATGGCAAGATTACGATAACTGATGGCACGAGTTAGTTAGCATATATTAAATCTAACTTATAATCTATGCGAGATGTGTCGGGAATCGAAAATAAATAAATCAAGAAAATATATATTAATACATAAGTAGTAAATATTGAGAATTTTGTTATCAACGAATATAACGAATGCATAATTAACTTCTTGTTAGTTTGCTTCTTTGATAAAAATCTCAAAAATAAACAATCATAATGACTATTTGTTTTCACTATTGTCTTCTATATTAAGAATCTTTTTGAAAAATATTTTTATACTTTGTGTCGCCAGAATTATCGTAACCTTTCTGAATGAATTTGTACGAGTACAACGTAATTGTTTTTACTCTAAATTGTTGGATTCATTCATATTGATGGTCTACTGTTTTACTCTTAAGCTTATTTGATATATTTTTTTTATAATAGCTGATGAATAGCTGAATTTTATAATGATATATAATTATTTAAACACAATGCGTGCGAGTACGATTTAAAATTCCTAGTGACCCTATTTTTAGTGATCTAGGAAGGATCAAGGAATGAAAGGTCGACAGGAGGGATAAACAAATCCCGAATTGACCTTGGAGACCTCGCGCGGCAGGAGCGAGGAACTTCGCATTCAGGTCCACCAACGTCGAGGCAGAAAACACCGTATCTGTGTGTAGGTGTGTATATACACACGTACACCAGTAAGTCGTTTATATAGACGTAACCCCAAATGGGTTAGATAAGGACCACCTATTGATCGTCGTCCTTGTCTTCCTTTCGTCCGTTGCTCGCAAAGCAGCGTGGCCTTTCTTATCTCTAAATAAACACTCCCCCTCTCTCATTCTTCTGCCTATGTGTTGCTTTGCCCATAAGTACTCAGAAGAAAATGCTCTCGAAGCTCTCGAGTGATCTTTGGAAGACACCAGTAGTGTAACAAGACCAGCAAGCACCCATTTCTCACACATACTCCATTATCTATCTATACGTGCAAAAAACAATAATCTGAACAGGAAAGTTTCTTATCATTTTGCGAATTTCGCAATAGTTATTAAAATATTATTGAAAGATAAGATCGGCGAATAAGTACGTGCGATGCAGTGAAACGAACATTGGAACAACTGTTGGGATATTTAAAAAAGCATATCTGGAGCTTGTTTATAATCTCCTGGCAACAGAGAATATGAATGTGAGGCCCAACATCAGGCGCGTCACGTTGGGTCGCGCTGCTTGATCCTCGCAGGATTACTCGTTGCTTATTGATTTAAAAACAATTGACATATTTGTCGACAAAGCCTTAAGAAAGAGGGCTTCGTTTAGAAAAAAATTATCTTTATTATGCGATGTTATCTTCAATATCAAACAGTCGCAGCGAAACAAAAGTGTCGTATCTCGTTAATTAAGTTGTAGAGACACTGGATTGTAAACTTTTTAATTATCTCTATATATATATGTGGAATACTGTATATTAAACGTTACTTGAATACGAATTGTATAAAGATTGAGTTGCAAAATGCAATAAATTTAACAGAAACTGATTTATCGGGAGGATTTCACTTCCATCAGTGCTGCAACTACAGGCAGAACAAAGGCGCGTTTTGGCGCCGTCTCGACGGCTATCTATTGATTATAATTTGAGACGAGATGGTAGACGTGAACAAGTGCGCATGTATCTCGAAGTATCTAGACACAGTAGGTGTGAGAGAGGACGAGAGAGAGAGGGAGAGAGATAGAGATAGAGAGAGAGAGAGAGAGAGAGGAGGGAGGGAGGGAGGGAGAGAGGAAGAGGAGAGAGAGAAAAAGAGGGGTGGAAAGAGTACTTCGCGCAATTAAATATGTCAAAGAACCTATGCAATTTAGTACACGGGTGTGTAACTTCAGTCTATATACTTATTCATATTCACTAAATATCAATTAATAATAAGATTACGTTAATGTTATAATTTCTCACTTCATAATGCAAGAGCAATGTGATATGATGTGTACATAATAATTACATCACTGAATGAGAGGACTGTTAAAATTGATGTAATGTTAATTAGTGTTCACCATATAGTCAGGTTTACCAGGTACAGATTGCGGCTTCTTATAGAAGTTTCGAAGACGACCTCGAAGAATAGTTATAGTACTTTTCACCGCAATGAAAAAGTAGGGCGAAGCGTTCAAACCCGTCAACGTCGGGATTTTATTAACTTCGTTTTAGCGGCATATGTCTATCATAGATCAGAGAAAAATATTTAGCACGAATATTTACAGAAATTTCATAAGAAAAAATGGAGAACCGCAATGTGTACACTATAATGTTGCGTCTAAATGCTAAATTGAGCTTGGTAGAGTGTAATATACCGTGCCCTTGTTGGAAAACGCCCTATAAGTCGATGTTTCAGTCACGTCGTTAGTTGGCGTCGTAACGTCGCGAATAAAGACAGGGAGAGAGATGGACAGCGATCCAAGAGCGCTTAATGAAATTCCCGATTTTTAAAGATCGCGCATGAAATCTCGCGAAAGTGGATTCCGTCCAATGCATTTCGCTCGTCTGATAAATATCTCACAGAGGAATATCTTTAATTCTGCGACACTCTCGCGATTTTACGCGATGCCTGGCGCCGTTTAATCGCGATTAATCGCGATAAGCAATGATGTGCTCTTTAAACAGAGGTCTGCTTTAATATTATTTATGAAAGCGTCACGAGAGATCTAGGAAACTGCTACGGCACTCTTTAAAACTTATCTGACCTTATTTTTTCAGAGCAATCAATAGGCGAGGGTTCTAATAAATACTTAGGCAGATCGATAAGCAAGCGAGATCAACAATGTAACGCCTGTGCAAATTTGTAACTAAATACGTACACATGCGCGATATGGATATATGAATTTCCATCTTGAAAGGTTGCCGCTTCTGCTCTTTCGCGGTTCTTATGCAATCCTCGGTAAACAATGTCAGTTGAACAATCCGTCACTGATCCGAGGAAGTGAGAGTAGTTATATCGAAGAAAGGGATACCGGTCACGCTGTCTTAGCTAAACATGATTTCACTTTTTTGGAGCGCGGCCAGAACCGCATTTTGTCTATAGCCTGACCTTTCAACCATTCTATATATACATTTATATAGAATATCCCGTTTTATATATTAGAAACAGCTGAATGTTGGGAAGGTATTTTAGGATATCAAAATACTTTTCAAACTGAAATTCAACTCAGTTTTAGAGGGAATACACGATGAACCTGTGAATGAACAAAAACATCCTATATGCGTACAATTGATATTATTCATTTGAAGAATATTTTACACAATATTTTCATACGAGAAAATGGTAAGCTCAGTGTCTATTTATTTAAATTGTTATTAAAAACCACCGAAACACATCATGTTTAATGTTCAAAATGCGGCAAAGTATTAGTGGATTAATATAACAATTATATTTTTACACATCCGTTATTGTATTTTGTCAACCCTCTGAAGAATATTAGAAATAAACCTGAAACTGGCCACGTCGGTGTTTTTCCTCCAGCGATATTGTTAAATATGACTGTCCAATGTACCATCTATACCCATTCTATTTCCAACAGTATATACTGCTCAGCCGAAATCGTTTTGTGCTACTGCTGGTAAAGTCGTCAAAACATGAGTGTCCGTTCATGTTACATCCACGATTTTCGTGGGTAAGAAACATCCCACACAACACACGTATCCTAAGAACTTCTTACAACAATATCCTGGAGATATATAAATATCCGTTGTTTTAGATACTGCAGATCCCAGAATGATATCTGTCGGACGTTTCTGAAATAAAGTGTGCTGTGTGAGACGGTTCTCCATGAAAATCTTCATTTTATTTAACATAAGTTCTCGTACATGCTTACCATCATCAATTCTTGGACAGGTCGATAATATCGGTAAAAACTTGCTATCTGGTGGTAAAAATTTAAGATAAATATTTTTAAAACGCAAGACATTCCTTAGTTGTGACACTTCTCGATTTTGCATTTTAAGCTACGTATCTCGTCTCACACACATACACAGGATATATATATATATAGGCAAACATTGAAAACAATATTTTCATATAATTAAACATCACGATTATAGAAAAAGAAACAAACGAAAGGAGAAGTAAGAACCTACCTTTTAATAAAATAAAGTACAAAACATAAACCAAACAGCAATAGCGACAACACCATGATACCTTCGAACGTAGAGTGATTGAAAACGTATGTGGAATAAAGGAACTAAACACATTTCGAAAACCTTTAAGAATAAAAATGACCCTATGCTTCCACATATAGTTATTGTATGTTATTGATTATACCCTCGAAACCGGCTTTTGACGGGGAGCGTGGATGTACACGTGCTACACACGCGTAAGGATGGAAAAGCGACCGAAGCAGTCAGCAGCGACTGCGCGAGCCCTCGAGAGGAGTGGTCTGGCGGCAGGGCGGATCTGCTCTCGGATGATAAACGACGTTTGTGGATTATTAGGATCACGGACTCCCGTTTGTGTTTGCTTTTCTACAATTTACATCTCTAATCCAGCCCGTCTGTTTCGTCCGGGAGTGATATCCCTCCCCCCTCGTCGGGCTGGGGCTCCGCGATTTCACTTACCGCGTGCATACGGTGCATGTTTCTTTCAAGCCGCTCAAGAACGCAATTATAGTACAAGGAATTGTTATTAAATAATACAATTACTCTCTTCTCGCCTTTCTTTTCGAAGACTAATCTTCTTACGATACGTGACACGTTACGTAGTAATCTCCAAATTTAGTAGCCCAAGTAATAGTCTCCAAAATTTCGATATGTTTTGAAGACGGATGTCGTGTACTGTTTAAAGAGAAATTATTTATTGAATTGCAAAATATTGCTTCGATGATTATGGCACTTACTTTTTATGTCAAAGGTATTTGTGGAATAGAAATAATGATACTAAAGGTACTTGTAGAATGCTGGAATTTGTCGTAGATAATGCATTCGCGGTGTCTCTTAAGAATTTTATTTAACTTGAGGACGCAACAAGGGCCCATCGCTTGAATCCGTCCAAACCGGTCCGCACTTAGACCCTTTTTCTTTCCCCCGGGGTGCAATAAATCAATCCCCTTAGCTCGACGAGAGTGCCGAAGTAGCAGGTGGCTCCTGACCGGCGTTCGCGCCCTTAATTCCCAATTAATGTTATCCTCGATGTAAACGCGCGGCTCGCACGTCCCCTCTTGTTCTCGAGATAAGTATCCTAGTTCGACTACATCGAGCGAGCTTCGTCAAGATGAGATACTCGTGGTTCGACGAAGAGTTCTCCTGGCTCGCAAAATGCAAAAATATTTCAGGAACATTTACGGAAATGTTTTGGAAATTGCAAGGGTACAAATATCCTACGAAACGTTGCTGTAATGTATTGTAAAATCGCAGAAGTAACAAGACGAGATAGTCTTCAAGCTCGATCGGGTGCGAGCGGTCGCCTCGTTCGAATTAGGAGCTATTGAATTATCGGTAGGAGCGAATTTCACGGGCTAACGCCTCCATCTGGACACTAGTCTCGGGCAGGGTAAGTGCTCTTAGGGTGGTGTAATTGACGCAACACCCCCGCTGACGTACTAATTGGTGGAAAATTGTCGGGGAGAGCGCATCCATCCATCGGATCCTCGTTAACCGATCGGCCAATTAAACCTCGATGTCCCTCAGTCAGTGTCATCTTCATCCGGACGATCGTGAGGATCGTGAGAAAACGAAAATACAGATTTCAGGAGAAACGCTCGAGCAGTTCGAGTAGAAAAAATATAACAGTGTTTTATTGAACTGTCGTTTTGATTTGCTGAGATACACAACGTTCTTCAGTATGCATGAAAAATTGAATACTCGATGTAAGAACAAGCGAGCACTTCTCTCAAATCCTCATGCATATTTTTCTCTTTTTACTCTTACTACAGACGCATTATTCGTATGCGTTTTTCAGAATGATTACATGACATTCTCCGATCTTTGCTCCGCGGCAGATGTACACATAGTGCGTTGTCATTCAAGAAAAAATTACAAATAGTTTCATGAATCTCGGTCTATTTATCTTACGCAACAAGAAATATTGATTTGAATAACCGCACGTGACGGTCCACGAATACGAATCTGCAATTTCGATCTCTCAATCAATGATCGTTAATAATTTACAGTTACACATGTTGATCCTGATCTGTATTGACAAACTAATGACACACGTGAATTTCGTGCTTAGACAATGTTAATTACGGTGAAGTTCGTTGCATTGAACAGCGCTGTACTGTTGGTGGACTCGTCCGGCGTTATGTCTCCGACTTGAATGAGAATTACGAGGTACGTGGTTATCGAGCCGATCACCTGAAAAGAAATCGAATGTTTAACAGTCCGATCTTTCGTTGTATATTTTCGTTTAAACGCTATCGACGTTCATTTAATTTTTGAACGAGTTCGTCCTTTTATCTGTCTCGAAATATTCCAACGTTATCAGTTTGTGTATGTATAATGTAAGCCTTATCGTTAAATTATAATAATATAGTAGAAATTAAGATGAAGCATAGGATTAAAGCATGTAGAGTAATACTTAATTCTTTGGCGGGCGAAATAGATGTAAAATGAAGATTAAAAAAGGCTGATTAAATGAGGAGAAAAGAAAACAATGACATCAGAAGGGAAAAACTGAAGTATAAATCGGTCGACATATGTTGGCCTTTCACGCGATCCTGTGAGAGAGAGAGAGAGAGAGAGAGAGAGAGAGAGAGAGAGAGAGAGAGAGAGAGTGTGCACTGCATTCATGTACGGCAAATCTCAAAGGCCAACGTGCGTGCCTTGTACTCGCGAAAAGTTTTCCATGTGGAATTTCTCTACCACATTACATGAATTGCAACTTACTCCGTGAATGAACGTATGATCGAGAGTGAAAAATCCACACGCCGTGAAGATCAACGGGTTTTGTATCAGTTGCAGAGTGAAGTCTCGTATCTGAAAGAAAGAAATCGAGAAATTCGTTTCTTACAGGATATTCGTTGTATTTCGTATTAAATACAAAGTACGACGACAGTGGACTTGCCTCCGTGCGAAATTCCTTACTGGTGGAAGGCTCGTACAGTTCGCAAATTATATCACCCGTGCTTGCCGCCTGTGAAAGTCCAACAAGCGCGTTTTATATCTCTCCTGAGCGTTACTGATGTGAAACATACATTGCGTTGTGAACGCAAGATCGACCAAAAGGGTTTTATCGGGACGCTCGAAAAGAGAATAATTCTATCCTACCGCCACGATTACAAATTATTAATCGTTGCGTTGAGATTTGCAAATCCTCGATCGATGCTCACCTCGATGCTCGCTAATGCGCACATGTGGTTTATAACGAAGACCTTAGACATGTAGAAAAGGGCCCAACAGCCGAGTGACACCATTTGCTGCACCAGCTCGTTCCTTGGTATGTTGATCCAGTAGATTTTGTAGGCGTTGTAAAGAAGAGAGGTGATGAACACGAATGACATTGTCATGGAGAGGAGGATCTGTATACCGTAGGCATCGTTCGTCCTTCTGATGCATTTGATCAATTCGAGGTGGACTTGCCTTCGTTCGGCAGGAGAAGCACAAAAATCGTTCGTTTACGTGACAATACTTCGAGGTGGCACGTTTGGTTAGTGGGTGCAGAGCGGCACGAAATCGAATATATATTTCATACGGATCTCTACTTGAATATTTCGAGTGAAGCGTGTCGTTTTAAGTTGATTAGGGATTATCTAAAACGAGCAGCCAGACTTTGATTGGTAACTCTAAACTCATCGCTCAAACGAGTTTCAAAAAATCGTATCACGCTTCGTACAATAGTTTTTGTCATGTGACCAGGCTGTGGCTTAATTTCAAGTTACGTTATCGTGCCGTCGGGAGATTATGAGAAAACGATGCGATAAGCGAATTACTGATTAGCACACTGCTCGAAAGTAAATGTGCGATAAATCGAAGTGGTATGCGTATTACATGTACACGCGTCACATAAATTTGCTCACGCGTGGCTACGCGTGTTCTTGAATACGCGAAAACCTTTTATTCGCGGGTACGAGGAAGTGAAGGATCTCACTTGACGGCCCTCATAGTGTCGACGTTTTCCTTAGTTTTATGCTCCTGTTGCGCGGACGAGACGAAAGCCTTGTTCCAGTCGTCCTTCATCTTCAGCACCCTCTTGTGCTGCGGCGAGTCGAGGGTGGTCGTTAGCATCCGTTGCAGCAAATCGTTCAATTGCTTGAATCGAATCTTTGAGTATCTGCGAATCGATAAGAGGAATGAGATGAGAGGTAGTAGTGATTAAGGAATCTATGAAAACTATCTATCTCTCTACTTGTTAGATTGTCCATTTCCAAGTGATTTCATAATACAATAAATATCAAAATATTATAATATCAAAATATTAAAATATCAAAATATCAGAATATCGAAATATCGAAATATCGAAAATATCGGAATTTAGAAAAACAGTCATTTAACATAAATTTGATAAACTTGCGAAGAATGAATAAAAAAATTACCGAATCGTGAAATTGTGGGATCTAACTGGGGGATAACAGAATGTGGATCAAATCAGATTGGTAATTTTTTTACGTCACTAATTATAATCAACGGACTTTGTGTCGTTTATATTTACGCGATATCGCAATAATATTCACCTGACCCAGTGCAGGAACGATATATCGGCCACGTAAAGTAGAGCGACGGGATAATGTCCGACGAGCATGATGATGAATTTCACATGAAAAGGCATCACGTCTCGTTCGACCATCAAGTCGTAGTTGATAACGGAGAATATGATGAATATCAACACAACGAATACGAACGCGTAGATTTGATACAGGAACATGTTGCGATAATTCGTGCTCACTTTCATTTGTTCAAAGGCCTTTTCGCATATCGTGATGCGTTCATACGCGTCTTTCATGATCTGTGGAAGAAAGGGTGTCATCTTATGCAGTATAATGTAATGTCTTGTGTAATGTAAACACAAATAAGAGCATCTAGTAATTTTAAAAGATGATGAAACGAAGAGGTCTGAAAAGAAATTTTTTTAATAAATTTTTTAGATAATTTGCAGTTGACTTTTTACGCAAAAAATTTATATATATATAATATGTGTGTGTGTGTGTGTCATTATCTAATGCAATAATTTTGCGATAAACATTAACAGAGAAAACGTATTATTAATCGAGGGAGAATATAATACATTGAGTTTTTCTTCCTTTTCAGCCTTCCTTTTCAGAGTCGATGCCTACATGTTATTGACGGGAAAAAGCTTCAAACTCATTAGGGAATCCGTCATTAAGGTTATAGTCGCGGTCGGACGGGATCTAGTGTGTGTGGCGTCTCTATCGATTGGTCCGAGAATAGAGAACTTCAAAATATGACGAGGATCAGCCGACGAGTTAATTTCTATTGCCTTATAGCGCAATAAAGTTGCAAAAATAAATGAAGCTTTTAATCAAATTAAAGTTAAAGATAAAAGATTTAATAAAGTTATAAGTAAAATTTTCACAACGTGTCCGAACGTTGACCGTACTAGAATTCGCAATCCTTCCTTGACAGGATCCCACCCTTTCCCAAGAATACCGAGTTACTTCTCAATTTCTTACAGAGACTTTAAATCTACCTTGATTCTCCATATGCTGGTGATGATGAGACACAGCGTCATGGCGATGTTAGTGTAGAAGACCGCTTGAAACGTCCTGTTGCTGATCTCGTTCAACCTCTGCTGATACGTCTCGTCGAAGTACGACATGGACAGCTTAATGAGGACGCCGAATATGATCAGACAGAACACTGAATAGCCGATGCTGATGGTCTTCCGTATGATCGTCTCGCCGGGCCAGATGCCCAAGCCAACGATGAAGTTGGCCACGATTAACGGCTTAATCGCGTCGTACAGAGTTTTCGGTTGGACCATTCTCGTCGCTGGACACCACTTGGAATTCACCAGCACACCTTCGTCTCGACGACGCTCGAATGACACTCTTCGTCAACCCCTCGCTCGTCCGGACACACACGAGCACACGTGCACACTGCACACTCACGTTCCCACACGCTTCCGAGTATAAGCTTGCGCTCGGCCACTTGACAGTTAAGAAATGAACGATGAGTATCGTGGCTATATGGCTTCGCGTGTGCCATGTGAGCGCACCGTCAGGAATATAATGGTGCTGCGTAATGCTGCTAAGTACCACCCTTAATAAGTGGATGGCCGAGGCAAGAGGCATGAACAGGTGGTGGTGGCAGCGACCGTGCGCGACCTGACTGGATAGCACGGATACTTCGCGATACGACTATGCGTCCCAAAGGATCTGTAATCGATATCGTCCACGTGAGTCGTGCATGCAAAGCGCACGCTTCGCGTGTCTTCCTTTTTCCCGCGGTTCTACGTACGCGCTGGAGATGCTTCTGAAGCGAATTTGTCTGGAATTTCTGTGCATTCGAAAACGAAAAGGACACGTCCAGATGTCTCTCGGCGAAAGACAGGTGAATTAAAGCAGATCGAGGGGCGCTTTAGCTTCCTCGATAAGTCACCATTGTCTTTGATTCGCGGGAAGAGAGACTCAACTTCTTTCAATTAGAGCTCAACTTCTACGCGTTCGTCTAATGAAAGGCGTTCGAGTCACGAGTTGGAGTCGTTTTTGTGAGAAATAGATGATGAACAAATCGTCCGCTGGAATTGCTGATGCAAAGTCGAGCAGTGTAAAACAAATAATTATAATAAATTACGAAGTCACGATTAAACGAAATTGCGTGAAATTGACGGTTGATTGTGAGAGATAATGATAAGTTTATAGATACGACTACATATACGAAAAAAGCGACATTCATATCGAATGTCGACAGGCTTTGCAAAGTGCATATGGAATTATTATAGAAATATCGAAGGCCAGTGTATCAGTAACTTCATCATACAGAATTACAAACAGAAAGGCCCGTGGAATGCCCAAGAGACGGCCATTGGGGAGATCGATATCGTGCGAAGTACTGAGCTGCTTATCTCGTTAACGGCATCAAGCTTAAAAATGCATCGCAATATTAATAGCGCAGTATTAATAAATAAGTATAGTTCGATTTTTCATTTACTTTGACGGAAAATCGGCCATCTTTTACGATAGAAGTGCACGAGTGTTGCCAGAACAACGGTGCTAGTTGATACTTACTTGATGAATCATTTTCATTGAACGCAATAAAATTAAAGTCGACTCAAAACTTTTGAGTCAAAATTTGAATCGACCTTTTCAACCGATCCGACGATGAAAATTCAATATGCGAATTTTATTTCAATCAGAATATTCCTCTCTCTAAATACGAATCTTCTTGTCGACTTGGGTGGATTGAGTTATCCGTTTAGAGAGAGAAAGGGAGAGAGAGAGAGAGAGAGAGAGAGAGAGAGAGATGGATTTATTTTAAACAAAATTATTTCTATGGTTTACTTTGCGAAAAGCTCACGTTGTGCATCGAGTAGCATTTTATATTAGTTGCCGCGTAATTCAACGGTTATAATTGTTGAGCATGTTGTATAGAATTCTCGAATTCAAGAGGTTGTACACTCCACTACAGATCTTGATAATAGCGCAAACGTCGTAGCAATAAAGGGTAATGAATGATGAAGATCAAAATGGAACGAAGAGTATATACGTCATGTACAAAGTGACAAGAAGTACATCTTGTTGAAGTCAGCTTGTATATGACTGTATGTTCTTCGTCTCATCTTGAGTACGCGAGTGTACGATCTTGTAATATGTTTATAACCGGCTGATATTGTAATGGACAATCAGAGGGGTCAAGTTAAAACTGAAAGCGCGTGATCACAAGGTTGGAGTTAATTCTCGACCAAGTTTCCAACTGCAAGATTTCACGAGAGACCGTAAAATGATTCACCGCATGTTTCTCGAACAACCACATCGTCATCATTTTATTCCATATGGCTTTTATTTTTACAGGATGTTTCAGCCCACGTACGTTTGGTACACATACATGTATTGTTAATCCTTTTATATATGAAAGAATTTTACGACATAGTTACTTGTTAATATCTACAATTGTTAATGTCTACAATTCCTTAACTGCTTCCTATTTCCCTCAAATATTTTTACTCGCCTCTAACGAGTTGCTCATCTGTACCATGATAACCATGTAAGTGGTCACAGTTTTCAGACACTGCGGACAGAAAAAAACGTAAATGTAAATTATCGGTTGCATTCGTATAATTATACGTTTTTTAAATGTAAATCTACAGACTGCACTTATGATCTGATAATTCAAGGAGATGCCAAACGAGATGAACTCCAACGGACTTTGCGATATCTGCAGGCCAAATTGTAGAATCTGAAAGGATTCCTCGATTAGAAGGGCTATTTACAGCTTGTAATCAGTGACAACAATTGTTATCGCGAATAAACCTCTTCTCGTATATCGACATCCACGCAGCACCCGTAAATCGCGTGGATGATCTCGGCAGTCTTGCTTCCCTGCACGAGTTGGCGATTATTGCCGATTAAGAAAAAAATACTAGTTGATTAAAGGAATTACACGTAAGTCAAGAAATAGCGCGCGGCTCACCTCGTTGGTCGCGTTTTTGCAGACGTTATTTATGATAATGATCTTCAGCGAGTATATGATTCCTACCAAGACCACAACGTGTATTTGATTGATTATGTTGCTGCCGAAGCAGCCGCCCGACTGTTGAGTTTCCAGACGGATGTACAGATTATATAAAACCCCAGTGATGAACACGATGGACAGTCCAATCTCCGAAGTGATCTGTACGCCGAAGCTGGTGCATAGCGCCTTCGTCACTCTGCAGAGCTCCAGATGCACCTGTCTGTGAAATGCCCGAGCAATAAGTAAATAGTATGTAGACCGCAGAACATATTTGTAAATAATACAACGTCGAATCCCTGGCGGCTTTGGCACATCGGATTTTCGCCCAGCAAAAGTGACGAGACAAAAATTGCAAATTAAAAATTGCAGAATTAAAAGTCATCAGAAATTGTATTCGATTTGCAAAGAATCTACCGTTCGCTTGTCTCATTCTTCCCCCTTCGCTTCGATATTTCACCGCATAGTGTGTACTCACTTGGTCGTCTGCAACAAATGTTTGCGTTTTTGACACTCCGCGGTCACGATGAATTTGCGGATCGAGTTTGAATCTCCGGTTTGGTTTCCGGATTGACCCTGAAGTTCCATCTGGAACTGCTTCTGGAGTTCAGACGGCAGACGAGACCGAGTCCTCGGCCTGTTGAGATTACGATTTCGCGAGCCACGGGCTCGTATTCGAGACTGCAGATGCCGATTCAATTGAGACAGCACTTTTGTAGAAAGTATGTGTTTCTGTTGGCGCTTGGCGCCCGAGATTTTACTATAATCCTCCGCCGCAAAGAGACCCAATTTCATCCCTTCCGTCGATGACATCGTCGCCCCTTCGTTCAGGATTTCATTAACTAATTCGAATCTCATTTGCAGGCACCTGCAATTACCACATCATATCACGTCAATTCATTCTTTGTTTGTCAACTACGTAACTCGTAAAACAATTACACGACCTTGAAAATTACGGCGACCTTGTACTTGTCAATTTATATTCATATTTATCTTTTAAACTTTATATATTTATAGGCTTCTTATTTATTTATATTCATTAATTCAGTCTCTGTGTGTAGATTAGCGTCAATATGTTGTATTAATAAACGCGATAAAATGACGTTAATTTTCACTAATTGATTTAATATAATTAATAAGTAAAAAGCAATTTCTTTTAATTCGAAATAAATTTGTCGATCACCAAGTTGACCCACTCACTTCACAGATACCGAAAACTCCAAGATGATAATGAAACTGATGGTTGTTCCATATATCTGCGACACTGCCACCCAAATTGCAGTTTCCATACTCGTGGGTAAATGTGTGACCATTATGATGCTTACGACGACAATATACGAGATCCACATGATTATAACGCCGATCATTACGTAATATATTCTGCTGTGGTTAAGCACTGATCCAAGTTGTTGCAGCGTCTCGTCGATTTGGGCGATCTTTCTGTAGCAGGCGTTAACTTTCTGCAAGAAACGCCAGTTTGCATGGCGAATAATCCAAGCGAGAGAGAGAGAGAGAGAGAGAGAGAGAGAGAGAGAGAGAGAGAGAGAGAGAGAGAGAGAGAGAGAGAGCGAAGTCTCTTTCTCAGAGACACAACTTATCAGCCTCACATCAATGTGTAAGACACACCAATCGTCCTCGACATTTTCAATCGTATTTTCGCGGGTCGACTTTTGTGCAAGTGTGCACGACAGAAATACTCGTTTCGTGTAAATGATTTTCGGATGTCCAGGGAGCAGACGAAAAATCGGGCGTAGGGACAGAAAGATTCCCTTTTTCAGCCGGTTATCCTCAATCGAGTTTTTGAATTTTCAAATGGTTCTGACGTCGTGGCAAAGACATCATTCCTCGGTTTTCGTCTGGTCCCCATTCTGTCACATGAACCAAGATTTCTTCTCGATGAGAAAGAAATTGATGCTCAAGACTCGAGTCAATGCGTGCTCTCGCACTCACCTTCATGTAGCACCAAGCGAGAATTATGTCGTATACAACGACGAAAGCATTCACGTACACTATTAGCTCATACAAGACGTACTCCAGCTTCAGTAGCTTAGTGGCCTTGTAGAATGTGTGTTCCGCACGTACGGATATGCAGTAGATGAAGATCAGGAGCAGGAGATAGATCAGACATGGCACGGTGCGTGGTTTTCCACGGGGATACTCGAGAACGCTAAGACCCATCAGATATTTTAGAGCCATCACCGGCGCTAACGTGTCGGACAGGTGTTTCGGAGTCGCTAGTAGTTTCATCTCGAACAGCCTGTTCCTCTTTGCACGAGAACGTACTCGGGTGCTTTTATTGACTTCCGACTCGTCACTGATGCATTGAAATTTTATCTTCTGGGTGAAAAATCAGTAGCCATGATCGCGATCGGTCAACAGAAATAAGTTCTGTAAATTCTAGAAGTTAATTTCTTAAGTGTTGCAAGTTCTGTGAGGTCTGTAAATTGTAACTATTAACAGTACGATTAACAGCGCGTTAATATAGTGCAGGGCAGTAATAATAATTATCTCTTGAGGTAATTCGATAACTCGATAATAAGGTAATTAAGATCAGGCTCTGAGAAAAAGAAGGAGGCTCGGGAAATTCGAAAATTTTTCCTCAAAAATCTCGAGTCTCTTTATCGCGCACAAAGTTTCTCGTAAATTTCCTACTCGAGCTTGCTCAGCGTCTAAGGACGAGATAGGTGTTCGTGAAAAATCTCTAATTGCTATTTGTACATATAACGGTCCACGCACCTCGTCTCTTCTAATCTTCGAACCGAACATACACACACACACACACACACACACACACACACACGCAGTACTTCGTTAAATCGTCGCATACATTGTGCAACTTCGCTTCACGAAGTCGTCCCACAGTAGTCGACGATAAATCAAACGGCGATACGTAGTTCACTGTATTTCACTGCACTTCTCATTTGTCGTTTAAGAACTCGTCAACTCGGTTTGTTCTTGATCGCGCGGCCAAGGAGTACGCAAATGCTCATAAATGGTTATTACGAAGAGCGAACACGCGCTGCAAACGAGCCGCGATGGAGTGGCTGATATATCGTGTCGGCAGGGTTAAGTGTCTGCAGAGGAAAGTATGTAATTCGTTGTACAAACGCGCGCATGTTTCATACCGGATCGTCTTAATGCGAGCCCAAGGCACGTGTGCGCAAGGAATTACCGACGTTCGGCTCAAAGACAGCCGAGCGATAATTACCGGGCTGGTCATTACTGTACGTGGCCGGGTCGCGTCATGCAGCTTTTTATTGCGTCGGACTGTAAAGACGGGCGGAGACGGTAAATTAACTCACTGGCAATCGCATTTGAGATCATCGCTCCCCTATCAGCCCCCGACCGTCACTGTCCGGAGAGACGGAGAAAACTTCTCGCGAGGATCGAAGCTGCTGATGTTTCTATCGGGTAAATCTTTAATGACCGAGGAGAATTATCTCGACGCAAAATGCGTATAGTCTATTTAAACACGCCACTACACAACTTTTCCATAAAGATAATTACGCCTGCGTAATTCACTTGAAAGTTATTTTTCCCGGGAGTGCCCTCGAGTCACCTCCTCGGTCGAGCCGGATAAGAGGATATCAGAGGATATCGTTTGGATATGTATTGAAAAGAAAAAAAGAAATAATGAGAAAATTCCTTCTCTGTAATTTATTCCTCGCCGAGAAAACGATACATCGCATCGTCGCGGGTTGTGCGATGTTTCGCCGCTAATACAGCCGAATTATTAATTAAAGATGAGACAGAGCTCGATAGCATTCATAGAAATTTTTATCGTAAAAGAAAAACGCGACTGTAATCGAGCAGCTAAACAACGGATAAATAAGAATCAGTTGTATAATTAATTCTCTAATTGATTGGTAATAAATTGAAATAACTGTTAGTGGATAAATGAATAAATTTTATACGACTATAGTCGCTCGATCGATCCTGTCGATCGAACTGTTTGCGAAATAAACATCCACAATAGTTAGAATTTACTTCGTGTGATTAGTGTCGCTACTGTCATTCTCGTTCACTTGATTCCCATTAGAATCTTTTCGTATGGTCGATTCGAAGGACAGACTCGTGTAAGACAATGTTGTATGCGAAAAGTCTTGACCGCCGTTGAAAGCAAACACTTCGATGCGATAAGAACACCGCAAATTTAATTTTTATTTTCATATTGTTTGTGTCGACTTTTGTATGTATGTGTGGATCTTGTTTCTTCAAAGTCAAGCAGAGTCGGCGCGACGGCAATTTCTACTCTGGTTTCTCAGACATCGTGAGAGAGAGAGAGAGACAGAGAGAGAGAGAGAGAGAGAGAGAGAGAGAGAGAGAGAGAGAGACAGAGAGAGAGAGAGAGAGAGAGAGAGAGGGAGAGAGAGAGAGAAAGTACATAATTTTCATAATCAATCTTGTTTATTAATCGACTCGGGAGAGATGATTAAATTCAAACACACCCAGTCTGAGTTTAGAGTTCTATTTCACAGTTCGAGTTCTATTTCACAGGAAGCTTCCTTCTGTTCTAATCTATCCATTTATTTTATTTCCTTGGTTCTCGTTTTTCAAACAGGGGAGCAGACAGAGAACCAATATCGTTTGCAAGATAATCAATCAGACTCGCATGGACCTCAGAGCGAGATCGAATTGCGCGATCGTGTCCGAAAGAAATAACAGAACGACGGGAAACGAGAAGTGCGAGCGAATCCAAGAGGCGACGATCCGTGAAGTTGGCCTTCTCGGCAATTCCATTCTTTTTCACTTAGCTGAAGCCCTATAATCGCCGGCGATCGGGCATACCCGGCCAAATGACGACGACAACAACGACGACGACGATTGTAGAGGGTAAGAGAATTTGGAAGAACGCGAAGGGGCAGAAGTCCCATGGGTGGCAGAATTGCTTGCTCCATTGTTCCGAGGTGGCTCACTAATCCTCAGCATCGAACAGGCTCGAAAGTATCGACGGGTGCATGGCGATAAATATAGCAGTCGCAAACTCGGCGTCAATATCGCGCGTTTATGCGGTCATTCGAGTTGAGTTCTCTGAGCAACGATGAATTTCCGTGTTTCTCTTCGGTCGATGAAGGAAGCTCAAGCTTGCAGGACGTGATTCAGGTAAGCGATGTAGCAGATTGCAAGCCGAAGGATCTCGATCTTGGAGAGCTTCTTGTCCGGCGGCAAGGTTGGCAGTAACTTCCGCAATTCCGCAAACGCCAAGTTGAAGGCTTCCACTCTGACCCTCTCTCTGTCGGGCGGTGCCGAAAATAAGTGTAAAAGTTAATAAATAAAAGTGCGAAAATGCAAAAGGCAAAAATATAAACGCGGAAATATAATATTTAAATGGGAAGGGAAAAAGATGGTGCTGCAGTAAAGATATCTCGAGCGTTGTAATGAAATTAGAGACAAGTGCGCGCGTTTATCGATTTAGTTAATAAAACGATCGCTATATATTATATTAATAACGCAATTACATCTAATTGCACATCGTTATACTCGCCTTTTATATTGGATTCTAGATTAAGTGACTCAACATTATAATCCAACATTATAATTCAACTTGAAGAAATTACTGATTGAACATTGTAATTTCGCTTGAAAGAGAATTACTGAAAGAGCACTGCGATTCCACTTGAAGAGAGAAAACGAGAGAAGAGACGATCAATCTGAAAACATTTTGGTGGAAAATGATGTCGAGTGCGAACCGTCTTTCCCCTCGACTTCGTCTCATCATTATTCACGTTTACACGAAATTCCCCGAGTCTGCGCTTCTCGCAGCCTTACCTCGTGGCGTGTGCGGTTCGATATTTCTGGGTAGCTCTTCTTCTCCTGCGTCTCTCCTCCCTCGACAAGGTGCCCGAGACGGGAGCACCTACCCCGTTCACGACGACGCCGTGGCCACCGTTCGCCATCGAGACCGCCCTGTCCTCGCTCATGAAATCGCAGTTGAAGCTCTTCATGTGCTCCGCGACTTGAGGACGCTGCTCTTCGGAGGAGACCAGTTTCGACGGACCGCGAAAGCTCCTCTTCTCACTTTTATCGCGGCGGAGAATCCAGCTCGCGAAACGTAGCTACTCGAAACGCAATCTGCCCTTTCATCTGGCATGTGGCTGAAATTGCAGATATAATAACGACGGTCAACTAGTATTTCAATTGACTTTCTGCACGTCTGACATCAACGTCAGTCCTTCTTCTTTTCATATTTAAATGTCCGAGTTGTTCGTGTTTCATTCCGAAATGCCGACGATTAGTCGTGAGAGAATTGCTAACATCCTGTCGATTGTTCACATTGCCTGACGTGGAAATGTCGCGATTGCTTCTTAGCGCGTTGAGACTTGAGTTTTCCACATTGTAAGCGATGCATGTAAATAATGATTAAATTCATCGCGACGATAGCCTCGGGGAGTCAAGCTATAAGAAATATGGCGGTAAAGGGTTTGCCTCGTGTGTTTCCGCGTATCGGCCCTTTGTCCGACGACATAATTGGCCGATCAAATATTTGTCGAGCGTACAAGCGGAACTCACGTAACGGAATTATCGCCACGAAAGAGGATAAAGTCGGAAAACAGACGGGGGCCACTCGCGACTGTGCCGAAGAGGAATTTTGCTCTAATAATGCCTCGAACTTGCCGCACGTGTGTCGAGAAGAGGAAGAAGTCGCATTTGCTGATACTCCGCGGGGCTATCCTAATTTCGTCACGTTTCCGTCCAAAGCGACCGTTTCGACGTCGATTTATGGGAAAAGGCGTTACATAATTGACAATGAGAGAGGAAGAGAGAGAGAGAAAGAGAGAAAGAGAGAAACGCAGTTCGCACTCCGTGTAAACTACGCGTTCCTCATCAAGTATTGACGAAAAGCAACCCCGAAGTCCCGTTCGATCTGATTCTCAATGGTAAAGCAGCGATTTGTATGGACACTCACCGCCGTGTCTTTCTTCAATATTTCAGAGATCGCCAGATTTTTCGTGCGACAAGCTCCTCTCGCGGACGCGCTGCTTGTAATATTTATCGCGCGACGCACCGCTCCGCGGTCCAATCAAATCGATACGATCTCCCATGTATTTTTTATCTTTACGATTTCGCGCGTGATATACTTCCTTCCCGTTGAGATGCTGTTTAATTTAAACCTCACTTTAAACCGCGAGTTGCTCAACGATTTTTGCGACGATTTTTGTTGCCGAGATTCTCCAAGTTCTTCGGTTATTATGAGATTCTATGTGTTCTCTAGTAGCATCTTACGAACACTGACTGTTATCTATCGATACTCGATAATTATCATGTGCTTTTAGTCGTTCATTTACCTTTTCGATTCACACAGGTCAATCCCTCAGGTTTTGTTCCTGTTTGCGGGATTTTCTCTGCGATTCTTTGCGCTCTCAAATAGCAAATTTTACGAACCCAAGCTGTCACTTAACCCTGCTTGATAATTATCATAGTTTATTCTCATTTATTTACTCATCACTTTCATTCACAGTCCAACCTTGTGGCTTTGTTTCTGTTCTGGAGTCTTCTCATCGCGCGGTTCATCGCGTTCTCAAACGGTATCTTACGAATCTCTCTGATCAGCTATCACCTCTAATAATTAGCGCTTGTTTTAATTCGTTCGTTTATTACTCACCGTAGAGGTCGACTATCCGAAACTCGGCACGCTTCTTCTCATCAGGTCTGACGTTCCTCTCATCGTCCGCCGATTAAACAATTGCACACAGAATCTCCGGTGCACCGTATCACCACTTCGCGGAATCGCGCAAACCGCTCGTTCGTTCTTTATCAATGTCGGTGCAAATCCGTGCGGCTTTTACGAAATATTTCACCGAATTGCTCACTCACTCGCTGTTCGTTTATCGGACCGCGATTACGCCGATTACGTTGCTTATTAACCTCATCCGCGGCGACGAGATCGCTTCTGGCAACATCCCGATCTCTCCAGTTACGGCGAGATCGTCAGCGCGTAGACTACAGCAGCAGAATCCCCGGTCGAAAAAACCGGGAACAGCGAGCTTGATTACACGAAGGGGACAGGGTTGTTTCATCCCCCGTAACCACGCCCTTGGTCCCGGCGTTGCAGCCTCCCTTGTCGTCCCGTTTCCCCAGCATCCCTGACAGCATCCCTGGAGTTCTCCAATCGACGGTCGAGGAACATTGCCGGCGAACCCGCCCCGACACCTGACGCCGCGTCGCCATTCCGCTGCATTTCGTAGTAATTTTCACGTGACAGTATTTTACGACTTGCCCGGCCGTTTTATCGATCATTCGACATTGAACCGCGAGTTTCCAGGAAAAGAAAATAAAGAAAGAAAAATGGAGCGAACGGTTTCCGTGTTGCCGAAGATTGCGTCCTGTGGCGTCCTGTCGAGTGCGCGAAAAAATAATATGTTAAATACGTGAATTCTGATTATTTTATCCTACGTTATTTTATCCTACATCGATCCCGTGTCTCGTCTCTATATCGTTTTGATGCTAACACTTTTTATAGAAGTGTCTAGTTCTCAGATTTTGTCATTTCATGAGTCTCCTTAATTACAGAGATTCGGCACTATCGGTCACGTAAAGACCTCGCTGGTGAGACTCTCTTCACTTCCTTTTCATTGCGATAGCAATGAAAAATCGACATGTCTCTATCTTGTCGGACGCTGAATGAAAAACCACGCTTGAGCCTCAGTTGAAAATATTTGATTATATTATCAAACACATGGATATATAAAGATGCACTCCGATCTTTTCAATAGTCTTTAATATATATTATATATAATAATTTAATATATAATATATATTATATAATTCGCTGTGTTTTTATTTTAATTAAATTTTGTCGTACGGTGCGTCCAATCTTGTTGATTAAAATAATTTTTTAAATACATCGAGCTTGATAGAAGTAAGAAAATGTCCAAGAAGAAAGATGGCAAATCCAGGCTGGGTTCATCGAAGTATGGATTTCTTTGAAGGATCAGGTGGTAAACGGGTCACATGTGCGCCGTCCGACTATAATAATAATCACAATCGCGCCCACCATCACAGGATACTCTTATGTAAAGCCAGCAATTGTTCGTTTCACGTGTCGACATGTATAGCTATAATTTTTCGTGTTATGTAAGACCGATTCTTAGAGCGCGATTGGAAACTTATCGATTGCTTGCTGACAAAATTCTATGTGGAGAGTTTGCAGTAGAAATTTGAAAGAAACATGCTTGTTGAAACTAGTGTCTTGGTAAAGATTATCTTTATAGAAACAACAGAAGTGAAAAGGAAAACTCGGATTTCATCTGAATTTTCGAATTTCCGAATGCAAAGAGGAAAGAAGAGGGACGAAGGAAGAAATAGAAATTGATCCTTTATTTATCAAATTAATTCAAATTCCGTTTCAATTCGGTTGTAATCTTGATTTTCTTTCTTTTCTCACTCATTTCATCGTCCATTCTGGAAACTGCAGCAAAAATCGCATTTTCCTTAACATCTTTTCACAGGTTTGCTCGAGCATTCGGCTCGAGGAAGTACATAGGAGAAAACGTCCGCGCCCTTCTCTCTAAAACGCAGAGATTCCGTACGAAACCTGTAATCATGCAAATTGGTCAATCGGGCTTCAATCTATCTTTAATTCACCCGCGTGCAAACAGCACCCACTGCAGAAATTGCACACGAGGGGGTTGACGCGTGCGGTTGGAGGCTGCGGCGAGGAGCCGCGCGCGTGTCCACAGCAAGAAGCGATTTTCTCGTCGACAATAATTGAGGAGGACGAACGCACCCTGCACGACATAACCGATTAATGCGTTCCGCGGTTGCCGAGCGGTGTCATGAGATAGTTCACACCTCGTTATTACGACGACAGCACTTTTCACGATCGCGCCGGCGGTCTGTCCGCTTCGTTCTTCAAACCCGCCAAACGTACCCCTTTAATTCAATTATCGCAAAGCTCCGCCGTGCATAATGTCGCCTGTCGTCATTGTGGTGAAATCCATTACCAGAGGAAACACGTTATTAATCGAATCAAACAAGTATCGATCATTTTCGCGCTAGAACGGCGCACGCTCAGCTGTCAGCTGAGTTAAATAAATGAATTTCGATTCTGTCTTTATTGAAAATAGCTCGAATATGTCGAAGAGATACGTACGACGACAACACTTTTCACGATCGGTCGGTGTTTCCGTGGAATTTCCGTGGAAGCACAGAATATAAGATATAAATAAAGCGTCGTTTGGTGTAATCACGCTCGGTAAGATATTAATTTATAACTATCCGAAAATATTAATTTAACCTGCGTAACGATAAATACCAAAACGACAATTATTACTGACGAATGATTTTTTTACTATTTCGTTATTTTCTCATACACTCTTTTATTGTTAACTGTCGGCTTTGGTATGTGCTCTTTCGTAGATATTATCATAAGATAACTGTACTACGGCAAGTACTGAATCGACAATTGTCGGTAAACGTGTCTAGAACAGAACCCCTAGGGGTTGCGAATACAACCCCTAAAGGTCGTACATATTTGCCGAGAGTTGGTGGCATCGTTTAACGTCATCTGTCGTCAGATATCGTTGAAAGCTATTTTGTACAATCGTTAACGACAAACGATAATTGTTAACGATGACGGTAGAAAATATATAATGGAAATAAAAGAATATATAAAATTAGGAGTTCTCGTTATGTTCCTTTCTTTAGAGGGATTCGATATCTTCTTATAATTCTTACTGTAATTAATGTGTCATTTTAAATCATTGTTCACTTATTTGTATCGATAACTGTGTGCTTCTCTAATACATATTTATATAAATTTTACTTATAATCTCTCTCGGGATATTTAAGTGAAGAAGTCTGTGTGTTATATTGATTTTTTTCTTCTACGGTAGGGATAACTCCCTCATACTGATACTCGCAGGATAAGAGACGTTGTCACCCTCCGATCGGTGACGCTTTCGATTTATCTTGTTCCTCGGGTTCTTCGATAATTCTCGATGCCCGGAGTTGAAGGAATCAATGCTCCTCTTGGATCGCCGGATGTTCCAAATGCGATGTAGTTCCGCTCTCACTTCGCCGTTTAGCAGACAGTAAAGCAGAGCCACGAAGGTACCCTGCAAAGATAAATGGCATTAGCACGCCATCAACCATACGATGGAATAGATTTTGCCCTATTACAGCAAATACCTGGAAGGATGCAGACAGCTGATCGAAAAAAAGCCAGACGAGCTCAATGTGCTGATTCTCGTGGTAGGATAATTCTATGAAAATGGCATAGTGAGCTCCGAAAAGTGGGATCAAGACCAGGGTCGACTTCGCCCACCTTCTGAATTAATGATAAATGCGACTGTTTATCCGCTCAAGATAAAAATTAAATGACTTGATCGAAATACCAATAGAAGACGCGAATATTACATGCTGTGGTTTTGCCACTTTAAGTGTGTAACTCATAAACATTATGTTTTCATGTTTCTTTTACATGTTCAAATATTCAATAATATGAACATTTATAGGATAAAACTTTTCCTTTCCTCACATATCGGGACTGGTATACCAACTTGTACTGCATCTTCTTTTGCTGCAGATGCACTGATGTTTTCAGCTTCACGAACAACACGCGGACGATGTTCAGGAACAGCATGAAATTGAACTGTAAGAGTAAAATAGAGAAAGAGAAAGAGAGAAAGCGAGAGATGAGCGATGGAGAGGGAGGGAAGGGAGGAGAGACAGTTAGATTATTTCTGTAATGAGAACCATCATTCTATCTAATGCAGTTAACGTACCAGAATGGATATCATGATCGGTATCCTTATGATGATAAGAAACGACAAGGAATTGTCGTTGATGGTCCAGCAAAAAGTGTCCTCCATGGTTGCGCGTATTATGATCCATGGCACTACTATCAAGCCAGGGAGACCTGAAAGATGATAAAGTTAAATTTGAACAAAGTACGTCGAAACTTAGAAAAACGAAGCGATCTTCATCAGAATCCAACTCACCCCAACCCAATAGAATGTACAGCGTTATCGTGCTGGTTTTGGAACAGAGCGCTAGGAGTATCAGGTTGTGCAGATACAATCCTTCCATCAGGATCCACGAGTAGTTCGCCATGATGAAGTATTGCCATAAACTCATGAAAACCTTGCAGACCCAAGTCTGCGAACGTGAAATAATCAGTTAGCAAATTCGGTTTATTAGCGGGTTATTATTCAAAATATACGTATAAAACAGCAAGTATAGAGGGAAGACTCACGATGCTGAACCACATCCACTAGCAGATCGTAAACGAATTTAAGATAGCTCTCCCGACAAAAAATAATTATATATAATTACATATGAATTTTGCATCTTTGTATGGCCATATATAAACATACGTAATTGCACATGTCCACACTGTAAAATAAATGCTATTGTACAAATTCAAATAAAATGCTTATATTTACGACAGCTCGCGATATAGACGTATATATAATTGGACGAAGGAATTTTTTTCTTTTTCCCCATTCGACAGCATTTTCTCTGTGTACGTGTATAATTTCATATAATTATGTATATGACCATACAGAGACCCAATTCATACATAAATTATACACAATTTATATATATTATTTATAATTATTTATGAAATAATATATGAGAGATTTTATACAATCAATTTTATACAATTTTATACAATTTTTTGAACGGACTTTTTCTCTTATGTCGTGCCTGTGAAACTCATCTTACCATTTCTCTGCGCATTCATTAGTTGGCACGCTTTAATTAATTTCTTAATAGTTATATCGCGCGATATTTCTTAGATAGAAAATTCCTTTTTGGTGCGTTTTACCCGCACACAAGCGTTAATATCCTGCGTATAAATATCTTTTACCTCCTTGATGGAAACATTTATCTCGTCAATAAAGACAAAGTTCTTGGAAAATCCGATGCCGTCGATGAAGATCAAATATTTCAGGAGCGCCATAAAGGCTCTCATGATAAAGGACGCGAAAAGATGCATGTGCAGTCTGTTTCTGGGATTCCAGAGTTTCCTGCGTGACGGAAAACGACGTTAGCGACGGATGGATAAAGCACAAGCTCCGCGCCAGAAACATACGCTTACCGAAGTAAAGAGAAGATCACCATAGCGGCAATCAAAGTAATCAGCGATGTAGTGTACCCAACGAACGAAATTATCTTGATGATCCGCAACCATCTCTATCGAAAACGCATCATGTTTAATATATTCAATGTTACGCTCAGATGAATTAAATATTTAAAATCAGCCAGATAAGGATAAGGTTGAAATATGTAAATTTCTCTTGGCACTATGCCCTGATTATAAATGAATCCCAATGCGATCTCTGTCAGTCTCAATGCCGTCTGATATATGCGATATTAATGCAAATGTCTACGACGTACAAACAAATAATTCAATATTGCATAGATTTGCAACGATGTAATCTGTAAACTGTGTCCGTAATCTGTGAATCTATGAAATTAAATAATCTGTGTACGGTATCTTGAATAATTTTGTAAAGGTAACACCTTTCTTTAACTTGAAATGCAAATAACGATGATATGTATTTATTATTATTAATATATTATCTGGATAAAAATGAGTCGGTACTAGAGCTTTATCTGAACGATCATCTACATAATTTTATCTGAATCACAGCAAACGTTCAATATGTTGAACAACAAACTCTGAATGAATCTCACGTTGGTGCAATAATGACTGAAAAGAGAATGATAGCTCGAAACTCAACGCACATGGATCCCCAGTTTTAACATATATATAACGAATGTAGATGAAGCTTACGCTCAAGCCTATGGCGAGGTCTAGTGGATACTTGTGGGTGTAATTGGACATGTAAGAGGTGTCACTCGCTGCACACAGGCTCGAGGAGGTACCGCTCAAGTTCTGATACCACTGATTGTTCGCTAGGCAGATCCTGCTGCTCATCGTCAGGTTCTTCAGGCTGTTACTCGTCAGATCGTCAGATCTTATGATCCAGGCCAGCGGACAAGATAAAACGGTTGTGCCGCGAATGTTTGAGAGTGACCAACAGAACAGATTCAGAATCGACGGACATGGAGGGATTTCTATCCTGTTGTCGGTCTCGTTGATGATGGCGTTCGTTCCCGCGAGGCCATGGTATTTCTTCAACAGATGATACCTATCGGTGCTGTTGTCAAAGTCGCCGGACGAGCTAATCTTGAAGACTTTTGACAGCACAAACGAGAATTCTCGTAAAGTCCGGTGTTTCCCGTTGACGATGATAATGGTTTTTTCTTTCTTTTCGTTTTTGAAAGCTAATCTCGAATGTCATGTTAGAGTTAAAATAATTTTTCTCACATAATAATTGTTCTTTTCGTTCTCAAAATATATATTTGCATGCGCATTATACAGGTGGTTGACGGTAAAGAAAAAAAAAAAAATACGAGTTTTGTATAAATATCATAGTGATCATTATTATTTATATATTAAATTGATGTACAGCGCATAAGATAATTGGAACTCACTTTCGTTAAGAAGACGATCGCATTTGTGTTGCTGCTCGTCTAGGAAACGCTTTATCTCCGCGACTGCCATCGTGACGCTGAAAAAGTTGATAAAAAAAAAAAAGAAAAGGAAACGAAACAGAACAAAACTGCGTCTATTAGACTAGTTATTTCGACAATTTTTATATTTCAGCGGAATTTTCTCTGGTCGTTCATTCCGTTCGCATTACTCACGAATCATTGCATATGTATTGCTATTATACACAATACATATTTCATATTCACTATTCTATTATTATTTAGATACAAGTCGTACGGAGCGCTTTGTGAAAAAATTTCCGGAATATTTCGCTGTCTTAATCTCTTTTATTTCTTTTCTATATCTACATGATTTATTTCTACTATCGGTGCGAATTAATCCCTCTCTTTTCTCTCTCTCTCTCTCTCTCTCTCTCTCTCTCTCTCTCTCTTTCTCTCTGTTATAATATTTTTAAATTGTCCCCCAATTTTTCTTTAAAATGAAGGATTTTGTACTATTCGTATTGTTGTGATATTCGTATTAAAAATGAGAAATTATTGAAAATACAGAAACTGTTTAGACAAGTATTTTACTATCTCTTGTGTAAAATATTATAGTTTATTATTTTAAGCATTTTTTGTTACTATATGTATATATGGTATAGACTACAGTAGATTTTACATGAAATATTGTAACTATATTTTACATTAAAAAAAGTGTAAAATATTTGCCAGAAAGATTCTTTCGTATCGAGAAAAGTTACCGAAATGGCATAAGAGGGATGAAATTTTAGAGGATAATTTCCGCTTAAATTTGCGTTTTAGCAGATAAAAAGCTCAGAATTTTGTTTATTCTAAAAGTATATCAAGTTTCACATTAGAATTAGAGATTGATATGCCTGTTTATAAGTAAATTGTGCGTAAAATAACGCAAACTAACACATCGAATATACCAAATATACCAAATATACGAATATACCAAACGTAAAAATAAGTAATTGTTTGATTATTTAATTATCGAGTTGACGATTTTTTCTAAGCTCTATCTCACCTCTGATTTTATTTTATCACTCTCTCTGTTGCTCTTCTCTTGTCTCGTTAGATTGTGCAAAGACGATGATATATCTCACGAGCTACTGGACTTTCTTCAGAATGTCCACTTATGCGTTCGACTGATCGCGTACCTTCTGGTATCTTGACAAAAGCTCGTCGCATGAGAATCGAGCGGCTGCGCGATCACATGTTACACTTTTCCGCACTCCGACCAACCTTCTTCTGATGACGACGCATCGACGGAAACCAATCCGGTAGAAATATAGATAAGCGAGTCGGCAGACAAGGAGTACGCGAAGCACTTTAGTGCATTGAAAGTAATTTATTATCGATTCAGAGTCGATCAGAGGATAATACGACTAAGTTGTTTAATGTCGGAGGTAAGCAAATTTACTTCGTAAGATATTTGAGATTCCAGTCGCAATTAAGATAATTTAAGATGTGCATATCGTTGGAAAAACATTGAGTTAGGAAGAGAATAAATGGCATCATCCGCGGAAATGGAGACACGACGATCGAAAAAAAACGTACAATTATTATAAAATTAATATAAAATTACAATTATACAGTTATAAAATTAAAATTATAACGCTTCGATACCGTAACGTTAATTATCGTAATGTTATCTCCTCTGTTTTTTATAATTATAATAAGTTCGATGAAGTTTCTCGCGTATACCGCTGGTATTTATGAAATTCTGACTTGTATGCGATGAATTTACGTAAATATTGTGTACGTGGGTAAATGTTATTCGTTCTGGCAAATGTAATCCATCAAAGATTAATCTTCGGAAAGTCTCTTTGACCAACCGCCGTCAATATTAGTATATCAGATTGATAATTTTAGTCATATTGCGCCGTCTTTTTAGTTCTTTAGCGTTCGCGGTAAATAGGCGGGGTACACCAGTGTAATCTCCAATAGTCAGCATCGATTGTCACAGTAGATGTCATATATAATTTCGCCTGTAGAACGCTGAGAGATTTTATGTAAGCATTAAACGCACAGCTATCAAACGCAGAAGAACTAGTATCTGACAGTCAAATACAAATCGCTTTCATTGAGGGCAAAATACTCGTCGTATGAATACTCTTTAAAATGGATCTCATCAATGTTCACTCGCGTTGCATTTTCGTCTTGCGTCGACCTTCAACAAAGAGATGGAGCGATCTTTGTGTGGAAATAAACGAAATAGCGTCATGTATTTAACATTTGCTTTGTGTTGAACCCCTGACACATATGTTAAATTCAATAAAAGACGCGTCATGACACGTGTTTCTCGGCGATCGCCTCGGGGAACTGCCGACAATTGCGCAATAATTTTATTTGCACACATCTTAATAGACGCGTTTATTATTTTTTATTCTGTATTTCCTTTTTTTCACGTTTTATTTTATATACTATTTGTTATCTCTTTTTAAGTCATATATATACGTATATATAGACGTAACATACATTAGTCTTCCTTGAGCCATGCCTAGCTTGTCTACCAATTCTCAGGTTGTCGATATTTTTTAATTAATTCCTTAGTAACTATTGCAAAGTTTGCAACACGATACAGGATTTTTCTGTTCAGTTTGATGCACTCTATTTACAGACGAGCATTGGTGCGATGATCTTCAGATAGTTTGTCTTTTACCTGGCGTTTTTTGATAGAGACGTTTCTTCCGTCGATAAAGACGATACGCCAAGATAATCCGTCACGGAAGATCTAATACTTTGAAAATGTCATGAAAACTTTCAGAAGGAAAAGATGCGAAAAATGTGTGTGTAGTCTATTTCTAGGATTTTGTGAAATAGCTTTAGTAGTAGATAAATAGAGCGCGAGTTTTTTTAATAGTAATACCTTTGCTCGGTCAAACAGGAAGATACGCTTACCGAAGCAAGGCGTGATAGCTTTATTCTGCATTATTCTGTATATACAGGGTGAGTTTGGACTCGTGTTCCCACTTTCTATCATGCGATATACATTACCAATGGCATCGTGATTGAACGAGCAGTATAAAGATGGCCTCTTCACATTGTTCGTTCAATTTTATAGATCAAGAGGGTATCTCGCTGCAATAGTTTTAGATATTAAAGGGACTTACGATAATGTAAAGTACTGATAAAAAATTAAATCAACTTGTATATTCTGGGAAAAACAGTATTGTTCATAGACAGTTTAATTTCGGAAAGGAATATACATTTTATATATTGTTCGGAAAGATAAATCGGCCTATTTTTAAAGGATTATCTCGATGTACTAATATAAAAAGTTAGAACATAAACTAAAACTCACTTTGTATAACAATCTGTTATCTAAAAGAAGAAATAAAGAAAGATCTACTTTTTAAAATTTTTTACTAGCAACATTTGTGTTTTCGGACAATTTATTATAGACAATTTCTCTATGTCATATATAGATAAATACTACATTTATTATTGGATTTATTTCTATTTTGTGCGTATAAATTTTTATATTATTATAAAATTATTTTTAAATTACTAACACTGTCTATATAATATATATTCATGATATATTCTCATGATATAACGATTTAATATTCTCAAATTTTATGGAATAAATTTGACTACGTGTAATTAAATTTGTAAAATGGTTATAAAAAAATTTTCAAAATGGTTGCATAAAATATATTATAAATCGATACGTCTAGGAAGAAGTACTACTAGGGTTATTAATTTTCGTTAGAGAAAAACCGCTACATATTTTTGAATACATACTCTTTATTTAGATAGAGCAACGTACGACGATATAAAAGTCATAAAATAATTGTTCAATCCTTTGACTGTTGTTGACATCTACGTGTTCTGGACGAAATTCTTCGCTGTACGCTGTCGGCATCTATTGGCATTCCGCCGTAATCACATATCTTTTTATATTGATGTTTTTAGACATTCTGGATAGATGTACGAAATGCACCATGCGTAAACAGATTATTACATTATTTGAAATAAATTCATTTAATAATTTACTACACAATACAAGCTACAATTATAAATTCACGACCAATGTTTTGCATAGAAGGCGCTCGCAGTATGTGAAAGGGTTAAATATAAATGTGAAGAATGTACCGTCCTAACTAAACTTATAAGTATGTAATTATATTATAATAATTATATTAATATAACTATATTAAGACATACCTTTTATTATATTAAGCATTTTCCCACTAAATTAAGTAACTGTATTTAAATTTTGAGTTGTATACTCCAAATGAATTTTATACATGCTTGGTCGTGTTTGCGAAGAGATACACAATTCGTTAGAGCGACAGTACGAAAATAATGTTTGTGAGTCATTTACACCTATTCGCACATTTCCCACAAACGTGCACGCTTACACGTACACACGTATACAGAATTTGCAAGATTATTAATAAATATCGGGGCTGTGTAAAAGATGCTCGTAACAACGACGGAAGTCAGCAGGATGACAAGGTGTAGCTCACTAGATCCTGATTTGTAATCAATTTCGTGGCACGAGATTGTGCGCCGCGCCCAAGAATATTCCTTGCGCAGGAAATTGAATTCGTATAATCGATTCGAATTAGACGGAAGTTGATTCAATTAGCATCGACGATGTCATAAATTTCGGAGACTTCTTCGAGCGGGAATTTCTACGGTGATTATATTTTCAGTTCCTTCCGTTTCTTTTTTTTTTCTGTACAGGAAGGAGCCCGATATATCGATGTGCCCTTTTGTTTTCGGATCTTGTCTTTTATAATCAAAAGTTCCAAAGGAATCAAACCAAAATTATTAAGATATTAATTCGACAAGTTTGTGACGAACGAATGATCGCGATATGTGACGCGATGAACACTGCGAAAACCGTTCAAGGAATATGTCTTGGATTTGTGTACAATTCATTAGGCGCAATCTGTTAGAACATCAATAGCTTGCACAATAGCGTACGCTTCTTGCGCATCCATTCGTGTACCTGAATACGAAAATATTAAGACAACAATAATGCGGAACAAAATATAAGAAAACTCGCCAAGTGTCCGGTGCTCTCGTCAAGTAGTACTACTGGCGAACGCGCAACGTGACGAAGCACCCCCGCGAGGAGGCAAAGCCGCGTAATGAAAACGCGAATGTTTCTGTGAGAGAAAACGACCTTACGCACTAATGGATTAAAGTAGGAGGTGAAGCGGCCGAAGGACGACGTGAAGTATGGGCGGCCTTCCATCTCCTCGGCTCTTCGTAACAAACGGGCAGGCAGAATTGAAAGCCCCGAGAACACTCATCGTCTAATAATAATATCTTGCTCAAATTTCTATTTTCAGGGCGATAAGTGCGCGCGGCTTTTATATAAAAAGCCGAATCGCGCGGCATCGCTACGTGCGTGTGAGTGCGTATTATCGGGTTCAGCGTGCCGAGAAACTGTATTAAGGAGCGGCGGGCGAGAGGGGTAGCTGAAGAAAGGGTGGAGAGGAGAAGGAGAGAGAGAGAGAGAGAGAGAGAGAGAGAGAGGAAGGGAGGGAGAGGGTGAGAGTAAGAATGAGAGTGAAAGTACCGGAAGCTAGCCATAGTTGATGTTACCGGATGACCCGCACACGCACTTTGTAAGTGCGCTGGCAGTTTACTCGCGCGAGCAAATAGTCCGCGATGCGTAAACTTGTCGAGCTGGCAAATAACAAGCACCTGCTACACGAGTAAATTCGCGTTAGCGGGATAACAATACGGCCGAGCGTAACGCCTCGACGAGCTGGTGAAAAGGGGCGGTTTGGGGGGACAGGAGAAATATTATCACACTCATGGCGCCTTATAGGTGTGTGAAAAGAATGAATAGATAATAAATTAAATATATAAATAAATACACGAGAGGTTCTGTTCTCTCGAATAAGCAGGCAGGCTCTTGAATTTCTGACTTTTCAGACAAAAAGAGGAAGAAGAAGAAGAAGAAGAAGAAGAAGAAGAAGAAGAAGAAGAAGAAGAAGAAGAAGAAGCAGAGAAGGAGGAGGAAGAAGAAGAAGAAGAAGAAGAATTAAGAAGGGCCTCACGGCTACTCTTTCTCGTTTTCTCACACGTTGCGATAGACTCGGCTAACTTTTGATATTAGTTCACGGACGCTAAAGATAGCGACAGTCGCGGAAAGATATTCGATATTTCTGCGTCGGACATGTGCGTTGATCTATGATATAACGACGGGTCGCGCGTATGTACAGTCCGTGCCGCTGCGAGATGCTCAACGCCGCGGCTATACCGTGCACGCGATAGTACCAAATCGCGATGAGCCGTTTGACAGGTGCTCACCACTTTCCGCGGATAATCGTACTTCCCTAAATGCGAGGCTGAGAATTCTCAGCGGCACCGTGCCGTTACATACCCGGCACCGTTACATTACGCGGCGTTAATTGCACGGCTTATGTTAAGCGCTCCGCTGTGCGATTATAATTCGACGTCGTCGTTGTCGTCGGCAGCGGCTTCATAACCGTAAGCGCGGCACGGATGTAGGCGAACGTAACCATATACTTGCACCTTTTACATAGAGGTACGTGTGCGCGCACACACATATCTCCCTAAAAATAGAAATTTGAGCAAGATATTATTATTAGACGATGAGTGTGTGCGGCCGCACGCGGCTTCGCGCTACTCACCGTGCCTCGTTACGAAAAGCCGACTGAGCGCGAGAAAGAAGGACAGAGAGAGAGAGAGAGAGAGAAAGAGAGAGAGAGTGTGAGCGAAGGAGAGAGGGAGGGAAAGAAGGAGGGGGAGAGAGGCAGAAAGAGAGTGCGATCCCCTCACCCTCGTACCATGTTCGCCCACGCCCGTTCGTTCGCCACCACGTCGAAGAACGAGGAATCCCGCGGCTGAGAGACGAGGGTGTTCGAGGACGCGGAAAACACCAGCTGCCGAGCCGCGAGCGATCGCGCAGGCCGCTTGCGTTGGAGATTTCTCGGCAACGCTAAATTGGGGAAATGTTCGCATAAATTGGGGAGGGGGATGGATGGGCGGGAAATTGGAAGACATTTTCTCACCGTGTCGACAAGTGTCCAATCAACGATGTGTTGGTACAGTGACCGATCAGTGTTATTTCGCAACGTTGTTATTCGATTATCATTCTAGAATTACCCTTATATAGGCTTATTATCTTATTATTATTCTTTATTACTGTCCTAGGCTGCCTTTTCTCAGAATATACAGCGATTATACTCTTGTAATTGCGAAGCAATCGCGTGTTGGCATACGTCGTCGATTAAACGATATTGATAAGATCACAATCGTTGCTTCGATGCGAGTGCGATTAATTTACAAATATCTTGTTGTGTTCGACTATGGTCGATCAGGTTTCACAGTTTGAGTTTGATAATTTGATGCTTAAGAAGATCCTTTTGATGAACGATTTGAGACTTATGTTCCGTGTCGAGGGTGAAAGGAGATGTAGGAAGAGAAGCGGGAGGAAGGGCGACGGGGGGTATATTTTAATAATCAATATCGGCGCGATCGGAACCGCGGTATTGTTTTCTCGCTCACGCACGAGACGTTACATGTACGATTCGGAGACTTGGGCGACTCGATCGACCGTCAAATCAGGTACTCTTTGAAATTCGATCGTTATTACATTAACAGCCGCCGAAATCATATTTATAAAGCCGAGGATATTTGTAGAAGAAAACGGGCGGCCGCGCGTGTGGGTGGCGCGTTCAAATGACAGCCCCGCATATTTTTGCCGTGTCTCACTAACTGCGGACACCCTACGGGATTCTTCGTGTGTCTACCATCTGCGATGTATTTTTACACTTTTCGCCGCGACCGTAATTCTCCTCGAGGGCGGAACTTTCCGTCGCTAGCCCGCGGTGATTTACACGTTCTAAAGTGGGTCAAATGGACTCTCGTTTGCTCTTATGTGGGCATAGTCTCCTCGATTCGCGGCTATATCGCGCGCAGTATCCCCGACTTTTACAATTTCCTCAGATAGTCCGCGATCGTTTTCACGCCGAGGAGAAAAGGATACTCGATTCAGAGAGCCGACAATCGGGGACTTGAGCTCGGCGATTTGTCACTCGGAATGTCGAAAACCTCCGATCCTGCGATTCCTCACTCTTAATTTCCCCTTATGATCGAAGCCCTCGGCTTGCCAGCGACTGAAACGTCGACTTCATCACGTTTTGCTACTAATTTGTAGTTATGATTTATTCACCTCTCGGTGAATTAAAGTTCCATCAGCTCGCGATTACGCCCAGCCAGAAGTGAGAATATCGCAGCGATAGCTCACATTTATTACTGTCGCGGGCTGATACAACATAACACCAATCTGCGTCACATGTGTCGCACGCTAGACTGCGAGGCATCCCTATTGCCTCCTTCGAGCAGACGAGTCATGCTCGGTATGTTGAGAGACCGACGCTATGCGGATCATTGAAGTGTATTATGAATCATCGTTTAAAAATATATAAATATAAAAGTCTGAAGTAGGAGAGAGTGTGGGACGCGTGTAACGTCTCTCTTTTCGGAACGGCATTAGCGGCGTGCCTCTCTATAATCCCGAAGCACCTGTATACTTATTCTTAGACATTTGCTTTTCGCCATATACTTGATACTTCTTATTAGCTAGTGTCCTTATTAGCGATGCAGAAATTGTGAATCTTTTAGTGAGCACGTATAAACATGATCCTTAAAATGTCTGATGTAATTTATTTCTAACAGCATCATTTATTCTGAACGTTGCACTTATAAATTGACCGAGTCCGATTGCAGAGAGAGAGAGAGAGAGAGAGAGAGAGAGAGAGAGAAGTTTGAATAAAGTAAATTAAGATATCAATGAGAAATGTTCCTCTAAATAGGCATGGCATAAATAGGGTAAAAAAATACGTGAAGCTACTCGAGAAGGTATTCCAAGAAAAGTAACTTTCATGTAAAATTACCCTCCTCTTTATTCGTATTTTCCCTCTTCTACATAAAACATATAATATATTATTCAAGTGTCTTCGTACACATAAAAGATCTCACATAATCTTGCATAAACTCTGCCAGAGGAACAAGATGTAACAGACACGTGGAATGTTATTAACTGCTTCGTGACGATGTCCAAAAATTATGGTAAATATAACTTTGAAGGAGTAGAAGAGTACCTTATTACATCTAATCATCGAAAGTCACCTTTGATCAGAGAAACTACAACGAGTATACGATTTACCAGCGGATATTTAAGATAATGATAAAACCCTTTTCATAAGGTTCGAATCGAACGTCAAAATTTGAACAGAATCAAGAATAATTTGAGAGATTCGATTTGCATCCAACAGTACTGTACTGAAGCCCTTCCGTTTCTTCATATTGTATAACTTGCGTCTTTTTGTACTTTTAAAAAACTAAAATTATTATTCTTATCATTGTTACTGTTATTATCGTTATTAAAGTTGACTCGCACTCAACGACCCTCTGGACATTATCAACGTACACGCTCGCTCCTGGGTCTGCCCGACCTTACCTCATCGGCAGAGAAGTTCTCACGTTGCCCTTCGACGTCCACCTCCTCCATTGCCGTCTTTGCTAGCACCAACATCGCCGCCACTGCCGCCGCCGCCATCGCCGCCGCCACCGCCGCCGCCACCGCCGCCGCCGCCGCCGCCGCCGGCGTCGTCATCGTCGTCAACAGCACTGACGTTCCCGATGCACACGTGCCGTGTGCAAAGCCCGGGCTATGACTAGGACGTTCCCGACGCGAGCACAGTCATTCGAATCCAGTATTAGTGCGGTGTAGAGTGCTCGGTGTTTTGTAATCCACTTACTCGAATTGTTCTCTCTCTCTCCCTGTCTCTGTCTCTTTTTCTCTCAGTCTTTTTTCCCTTTTTCGCGCAACTACGATCGATTAGTGGTGAGTATCCAGATAACAGTGTGGCGGATACGTATTACTACTACTACTACTACTACTACTACTACTACTACTACTACCACTGCTGCTGCTGCCGTTGCTGCTGCTGCTGCTGCTGCCGCTGCTATTACTGCTACTACTATTACTACTGCTATTACTACACTAGTACACTGCTACTACTACTACTACTACTGCTATTGCTACTATCACTACCACTACCGACGATATTCTCTAGCCGCATGTCGACCGGTGCCGAGTACCGACGATACCGCAATGTAGTACAACCACAACACGAGACAATACACGCGCACATCTACCAATTCGTATCGCGCGAAGAAGTGCATACAGAACTGCTCGTCGGGAACGTGATTTACCCCGGTCTCGTGATTTGTATGTTTTCCTCGTGTTTCTCGCGCTTCGCAGCCGGAGAACCGCCAGCCGAAAATGGTGTCGCGCAGCCCATATGCTTGAGGAATAGATCCTAGGACGTGTGTATACACGTTGCCCCGGCAATGATCGAAATTGATCATTAGACGGTGGATTATTAGGTCGGACGGTTCCTCCGCTGGCAATTTGAGAAAATCGTCCGTTTGTGTGGTTCATGGAACTTCGAGCGATTTTTCTTTGTAATTAATTAGCGGGATTGACTCACAAAAATGACTAATACCCTGACGATTTACTCATCTAATTTGACTGGATCATTGGTCTTTCCCAAAGGTCGAAAACGTTTCTCCGGCGATTTTTCGGCCCTGAAATTCCGCTCGCGCGTTTCTCAATCTCACTTATCCGGGGAAAAATGACGCGCGGGAAAGTCCATTCTAACTCTGAATTAATTTCTTTCTAAGGATCTCCTTCGCCACTACGTCTTGATACTTTCAGGGATTTTCAGATTAAGCTAAATCCAAGAATTTGAGGTGAAACGCCTCATAATCTTAGTTAATAATGTAGATAATAAAGGAAGATTTAGTTAACAGGAATTTGCGCTAGTTAATACAGCCGGCCGTGTAAATGGACAGAGTAAAAGGGTGCCATACTGTCTAGGATCGATATGGCATGATTGAACATCTTATGTCTTTAAAATCTAATCCCGTGCAGCGACATTAAAATAGAGCCGCGATCACTGAACATAGATTTCGCGTTACGTTATAATTGGAATGTCGCGCTATTAATAAAATTGACTGGAGTCAAATTATACTCGGTCGTATCGTCGCACGCTGAGAACGCTGGACAGGAAACAGAGCAACAAAAATTGTAAACACGCCAAGAGAAATAACAAATTCCCGTAACAGACAAATTCCAGAGTCGATCAAACATGGTACATCAGACACCACGTTCATGTCCCCCTCCTTCTCGATATTATAATTAGAATTATTCATATAATTTTACGCGTAATTATTGCGATGGTACAATACATGAGATTGGAAATGAAAGGAAACAATAATAAATTATACTTACATTAACTTATTCTGTCTATAAAAATTTGTTTCAATAATAACAACAAAAATTGTCCGAGAAAATTATGTTTTAATAATAATAACAAATATGTTTTAAGATATTTAAGACTCTTGTTAAAAATTCAATTTATTGAATATCTAACGTTGACAGTTGTTTTTCATTCCATCCCCTCTCTCTGTCGAAGCAATACTTAAGCAGTTAAAACGTATATTAAATATAATAACTCTGGCGATTTTAAAAAATTTCCTAATGAATCATAAACGATGCTCTTGCGGAATTGTTTCGAAAAGTATTCAACTAAATATATTTTGCATGAAGATTTAAAAATTAATTGAGGAGATGGGTATCCTACTTTTATAAAAAAATAATATTATTATGCGAGTATTAGTTTCGTTAATTTTTTAAATACTCACGTATTCCATCTGCTATTATTAGTTTATCGAAACTTGGTCTCTCTTTCTCTCTCTCTCTCTCTCTCTCTCTCTCTCTCTCTCTCTCTCTCTCTCTCTCTCCCTCCTTTTCTGCGCCGACTGACGGCGCTAATCGAACTAAGTTATCAAATAAATTCAACTCCAACGAAATATTATTATTACGTTAAGCAAACATGATTAATCGAATAGTCCCGATGCTTATTTCGTGTGAAATCCTTATAATGTCACTCTCTCGTAAGCCGATAGCTAATTGGAAAACGTGAATCTGGATTAAAACCGGTGAATCTCTGCGAGCGAATTTACTAAAAGACACTGTTATTCAATTATTTATGCAATAAATGCGATAAGTTTTTGCGATGTTTAAAAATACATTGGAAATGTCAATCTGTCCAGAGGGAAACGACGACGGAGCTCTAACTTCTACCCTGTAATTTCTAACGGGTAATTAATTTTATTATCTACAATTCGATATACTCTCTAGTAGTAGAGTCGAGTAAATAGATATGGAAGGCTGGATTCTCGCATGACAATGTTTTGTTGGTGCCTCCGCGAAAGGACGGTGATGCAACGAGAGATATCATATTACGTCTTAAAATGTTTCACTATACCGGGTGTTGTAATTATACGTCGAGTCATCGGACGCTAGAGGATTTCTTTATAGCGCAACCTAATTTTAGGATTCTAGCTTCGTCCGCGGCTCGTGCTTGCTTATGTTATCCGGATGTGATTTACGGGGCCGGGCTGAAACACGATGCCGCGATAATATTTCCAGATATTCGAGCAGGCGTTGTCAGGATTGTGCGAACGGGGATGAGAGTTACTCGTTTAACAAATCGTACCGTGCTATCGCGACTGCTTCGCGGAATGAATTATTGATACAGATGCGCGAGAAACGTTCCTCGAGATTCATACGTAAGACGCAGGATTCTTATATGCCGCGATATCTGCGCGCGCAAAGTGACGCGCTCTCCTCTCTCGATAGGACGAGAAGTTCCATCATTTTGTGAAATCGTCAGCTTTTTCGATCGAATCGCCAGGTAGATGATTCACACACTCGTTTGTCAGTTGCCAACGCTTATTCGCATCGCATGCCACAATTGTGTCTCCTCGGCCGTCTATTCACTTCTATCGCGATTACAGCCCTGTCACGCTGCACGAAGATCATGATACATTGACCGACGCGCGCATCGCTTTAAGTGTGCGCCGTAATAAAATCTCCAAATTATTTTGCAACAAGTACACATGTAACAAACGTATCGACACGTAAATAATAAGAGATGCATGCTTCGCGTATCGCAAATTCAAACGAGTCTCGACGGTATCCTTTCCTCTCTCTTTTTTTCTTCTTTTTTTCTTTTTTATTTCCGCGCGTACACAATTTTTCGACACGCATAACAGCATCCCATTCGCGGCGTGGCAGAATACGCGAGTTGGGTTACACAGCGCATTCCATACGTCCACGAATATGCGTGCGATTGAACGGTAGGGGTAACGAGAAGACCGCTACCGCGGTACACCTAGCGCCTTCCCTAATACGGCCTCGCGAATTTGCCTGCACGCGTCTGCACGGATATAGATTCTCGTAGGCTCTCTCTCCTCTCTCTCTCTCTCTCTCTCTCTCTCTCTCTTTCTCTCTCTCTCTCTCTCTCTCTCTCTCTCTCTCGCTCGCTCGCTCTTCCTCTCGATCTGTCTCTCACTCTCTCTTTCTCTCTACTACCATTCGCTCCACCAGTCTATATCACTGTGTCGTCATTATTACCGGCCGCTACTACTGCTTGCTTGCCATACCACTGTCGTCTGACTCTACTGCTAGCTGAGAAGGAGCATATTTGTGTAGCCGAACGGGATATGGGAGGCATTCCGGACCTATTGCCATCGCGGATATGCTGCATAGTGACATTAAAGGCCCCAATTATTTTTTTTCTTAATATTTTTGAGTGCGCCTCTTATACTTACTTCATAGTCGCGTATAGTTTTCGGTGTATTTGTTTAATGACGTTCGAGAAACTCGCAATTACACGAGGCAATTACGCACGTTAGGTCGCGCTTAAAGTATACAAGTTCGGTTTTATTGTATCGTATTGTTTTACATGTATCTTTCTTTACATACATACATTTCACATATTTTTTAACATATCTAGTAGATATCGTCGTATGTTGTTGCCAAAAGGTATTACGCTCAGCACTGTATACACTCACCTATTATTCCGCTGCCACAACTTTGCTTACTACTCACGCGGAATATTGTTGTTGAGGATATACAATTAATTAATTCGACGCTGCCAACTGCCGCTACGCACGTCCTTGTTAACATTCGTGCCAGGTGCCATCGCGATCTCGTTTCAGCAAGTGTGTCAATCAATCGCTGTTTACTTCTGCGATTTCGGCAACAATGACGGCGAATGGAAAAACACCTGTCTCGAATAAACGAGGTTTTTTTCGATCGGTCATTAGGATCGCCAATAACATAGGACTGAATAATAAGTATCCATGATGTACATCCTCAAAAAAGCGAAAACAGAATTCGATCATTTCTTTTCCGTGCGATTCGGAACGCAACCGATATTCAATAAAAAACAACCCGATAAAAAATTTGACGGTAATTCGATGCGACAGATATCCGTTCTTCTTTACTTGCCTCCAGTACTGTAAATTTGTTGGGCTCTCTAATGTATAGAGATGTGCGAACTATTCGAATCCGAATCTCTATGATTCGAATCCGAATAATTCGAAAATTTCGAATCGCGAAGATTCGAATACGAATCGAATACATTAGTGTTTGCGCGCATCAGCTACAAAATGGGCCATTCGTACCTGTATGTTTGAAACCTTAACCTTGTAATTAACTTAACTTATAATTAATAACTTAATTATAAATTACTTTAAATATTTAAATACATATTTTACTTTAAGATGATATTACAATATCAATATTCCCTTTCATATTAAAATCTGCCATTATTATTTACATGTTTAATAGTCGTGTTAAAATTTTCAATGATTTGATTCGATTTGATTCGATTCGATTTGAATTCGAATGAAATTCCATAGATTCAATTCGATTCGGATTTGAATGAAATTTCATAGATTCGATTCGATTCGAATTCGAATTTAAGAAATGAGATTCGATTCGATTCGACATAAAAATTCTTGATTCGCACATCTCTACTAATGTGTGTACCACGCTTGAAATACTTTTCTTCTCCCTTTCTACACGACTCATCCCTCCACATGCTCGGTCGTGCGCGCGCCTTAAGCTGGCCACAGAAATAGAACTAGTTGCCGAGACGAGTCGGACGAAAATGCAGATTGTTTACGTCCTCATAAGCGGTCGGTTAGGTAACCGAGATGGGTTACCGTACCGGCGACGAGCGTCTCGGTATTAATAAAGACATTCGATTCGATCCCGCCCTCGCAGATCTTGAGTTTTGGAACCGCGAATCTTTTTCGCGAGGGAAATGCGTCGTAACGCTCTCGCGTCCCGATTGTTCCAGCAGCGAAATTTGTTCTGAAGAGCGAGCCTTTTTCCCATAATATGTGCAATTACACGACACGTTAGTTCACACTTCAAGTATACAATTTTCCTTTCATTCAAATCGCGAATCGTTTTCATGAAAATTGCAACCCTTATGATTTTTTTATATTTACATCCAAGTACATCAAGATTTCCAAGATGAATCCAGCCTGAAATAAATCGAGTTGAAGATTGCGTTTCTGACGAATGTAATTTTATTTTTTAACTAATGTAAAAAATTAGGACTTTTTAGTTAAAAAAATTTATTGTATCCGGATAAAAATGTTGGCGCGAGATAGTTCACTATATATTCGGCAAACCGTATAGTTTCTTTAGTTGCATGCGTGTGTATCATGTGTGTATCATTAAAAATTAACAATGGATATAACAATAATACTGACTTGACGTAATATGAAGCTTCCGCGATAAATAAATGATGTAAACGCAACAAGGTACACGCGAGGTAACGAATTTCTCTTTTTTGTTGCAGTGTAAAAATGCCTTTCAAGCCGGTGGAACATCCAAAATGCCCGAAATGTGGCAAGTCCGTTTATGCTGCGGAAGAGAGGGTTGCCGGTGGATTGAAATGGCACAAAATGTGCTTCAAGTGCGGTGAGTAAACAAATATATAATACTTCGTACGGAAGCAGAAGGAACGTGGACAAACATTTTCTTATTCGTTTACAACAAATTGATGAGTCACTGATCGTCTCACGACTCGTGGAAGTAACAAAAAGAAATTATACTTACGTCAGATGCAATATTTTGCGAGAATACTCAAGTTTTCTTTTGTCGAGATTTTATATTTTTCCTCGATCCGGAATATCGCTTATTATTTCTCGAATCTACGCAAACTTCCCTACGCAGACAACAGTATAAGAAAATAGTATTTTATTTACGATTGCAGCTTTATTCTAAAAATTCTGTATGAATTAAATTAGCGTTGTTGCATCGAGAAATTGCTCTTGCAGGTAATCATACTCTCGAAAAATGGTTTTCTCGTTTAACGTAATGATGCGTTTTTTTTGCACGATAAGGAACTTACGACGTTCAGCGCGGATATTCCTCATATTTCCATTACGAGAGGGATATTATCGAGTCTTCTATTCTTAAGTCGATCTAAAATAAAT